TGTCCAGTGCGCTGTGTTGCGCGACGAAGAAGGGGGCTGCGTTTGGTCGTCGTCGTGGTGGTCGTATCTGCGCTGCTCGTGTGCACCCGGTGACTCGGCGATCGTGTGCGGCGTCACACGCACGTCCGTGTAGGACGCGAGCGTCGCGGCCTGCGAAAACTTCGGCGGAGCATCCGCGTTTGTTCGCGTTGTGTGATATTCGTGTCGAAACGTATATTACGTCGTGCCGAATCCTTGACTAACGTCGTCGTCGTCGTCATCGTCGTTGTCGTCGTCATCGTCGTCGTCGTCGTCGTCATCGTCGTCGTCGTCGTCGTCGTCGTTGCGTCGTGTCGTCGCGACGTGCGTACGTGCGTGCGCGGGAGCGCCCGCGCGCGCTCTCGGCATCGACAGAGTGAGACATTGAATGTATGTGCGAGAAAGAGAGAGAGAGAGAGAAAGAGAGAAACAGCGACATCGACGGAAAGGACGGGAGGGAGGGAGGGAGGGAGGGAGGGAAGGAAGAGAGGAGGAGAAAAGGGAAGAGACAGCGAGTATAGGGCTCTCTAGCGATGTGTTTGTGTGTTAGTGGTTCCGTGTAAAAGGTGCGAAAGCGGTGGAGAAAGAGAAAGATAGATAAGAGAGAAGGAGAACAACGAGTAGTGAGGAGGAAGAGAGAGAGAGAGAGAGAGATCGACATAAAGAGCGCGGGAGAGAAAGAGAGAGACAGAGGAGCGGCGGTGGCGCTTTTTTTTCGCTCGTCCGCTCTCGAGAGGGCGGACGAGAGTATGGTATCCCCGTTTCTCTCTCTCTCTCGCCGTGTGTCCCTCTGAGTGTGTTCGTGTCCCCTCTCGTCGTCGACGTCGTCGACGCGAGCGGCAGGTAGAGGAGGCGCGCGAAGGCACCGTCCGTGCGAGCGAGTGAGAGCGCGTGAGCGAGCGAGTGAGCGAGTGAAGCGAGCGAGCGAGCGGACAACAGCGAGAACGCGAGAAGGAAGACGAAAGTGGCGAGAAAGGGAGAAGCGTCGGCGTCGAGACGCCCGGCGGCGGCGGCGGCCAACTACCTGCTAACGACGCCGAGCCGATTAAACGCGCGCGCGATTCGTCGCGTTACGAGTTGCCGTTTCCGCCGCTACTTGTGATCAACACTTGCGGCGGATAGCTGCTCGTGTGTGGGAAAAATGGGATGCGCAGCGGCGGCGGTGAGTCGTCGCGGACGGTCCACCTAACGAGTTTGTAGTATTTCTCGCCTGCCTGGCGCTCGTCGCGGCAGCGGTGGCGGCAGCGACGGCGGTGGTGGCGTTGGCGTTGGCGGTGTCGGTGGCGGTGGCTGTGGCACTGGCGGTGGCCGTCGCGGTGGCGGTAGCGGTAGCGACGAGGCCCAACGGCGAGAAGCGGTCGGAAAAATGGCGTCCGATAACGAAGCCTCTTGCGCGAGTGACCCAAATTTCGCGGTGATCTGTTCGTTTCTCGGCTGCTTCGGCAAGTCCTGCGGCATCCTTTACCCGGACATCACGCGGCTTCAGGAGATGCTCGAGAACACACTCGAAGGTAGGTCTCTATTTCGTTCCGGTTTCTTCTCCACACTCGTGTGTATACGTACTGCTCTCGCGCGCGCCGCAGGGAGGGACAGAGAAAGAAAGAGTGAACGAGAGAGCGAGCGAGAGAGCGAGAGCGAGAGCGAGCGACTCCACTCGGCTGTGTATACATATATGTGCGCGATAGACGGCGGGAGAGAAAGAGAGAGAAAAAGAGAATGAGAGAGAAAGAGAGAGAGAGAGAGAGAGAGAGAAAGAAAGAAAGAGAGAGAAGGGTGGACAGATAGAGCGCGGAGGTATGGCGAGAGCGAGCGAGGGGAAACGACGACCGCGACCCGCCCCCGCCGGAGAGGAGGCCACAGTCGTCTAGCGCGTACTATTAGTTCCTTCGTACGATTCCGCTTCGACTGCGAGCCTCGTCCTTCTCTGCGCGTCTGTACGCTAGCGGTCGTTCGTTCCCGACGAGCGGGCCCTCCCGCTCTCCCGTCCGAATTCTCGCCGAGCGGTGGCGAGCGAGAACAACGGACGTCGTACGTCGTCTCGAGTCGTCTGTGACGGGGCCGCTTTTTGTTTTGGTGTGCGGGCGCGAGAGCTTGTGGCGCGAGACCGCTAGCTGGCGGGTTCGCCGCACGCCCGCGTCCCTCCTCGCCCTTTGCCCTCGTCGCTGCGCGTCGACCTGAGAACGGTAACGAGCGGTCTAACGACGCGCGGCGTTCACTCCGCGGCGAGAGAGGCGGTGTGTTATTGACAGATAGGCGCGAGAGATGGACTTCGCGTTTATTGTTATTCTGCCGCGTGCTGCCACCTTTCTTGTTGTCAACTTGTCGGTTACACGTGATTACAAGTTACAAGCGCCGGCCCGCTTCGATTTCGCGGAAACGTCGCGTAACGGATCCTCGCGCTCTCGATGCTCGTGTCTCACGAACGGGAAGTTCGCCCGTTTGTGTTAATGGATCCTCTCTCTCTGATCCTGGAATATGAAGTATACAAATATATGTTAATTGCGTTGCTCGTACATTTTACGCTGACCTTTCTTATAAATTAGTTTCCTGTGACATTTTAATGATACTCATCTAAATGAGTTCTTGTTTATATGGTGATTTTGGTGTCAGAAATGCTCCATTACAGGGTTACGCAATCTAGGATGAAAGATTTTGGAAAGTTGAATTTTATCTAGATGCTTTGAAAGAAGTTTTCTCTCTTATGTTGAAAAGTGATCAACACAACGAGGCACTTACAAATACTCTCCATCTGTACTTGTTGGTGACTTTTATGAATGTATGATATATTCTTTTTAGTATCGCAAGAACTAATAGACCTGCATGTCAAGTTATTACGTAAAACACGTAAAACTGTCTCGCCAGAAAAGTGGGAGCGGGCGCTAGTCAAGTTTTGCCACACGTACTCTAATCAAGATGGATGGGAACTTGAACGTTTTGGCTACAAAAAAGCCCGCATTGCTGTTAAACTGCGTCTACTTAAAGTATGAGCCATATGATTTTAGCTTTCCTGATCCACAACATGCAAGAGATCATTCTCCCTGATGTATGCAAGTGCTCTTCTTCTATTTTAGGTACTATTGGAAACACAGTTTGACTTGAATCAAAAATTTAAGAACGAGGTGAACAAATTGGCAGCTGATGAGTTGCGTGTGGAACCGTTAGGAAGGGACAAAAGTGGACTGGCGTATTGGTGTCAGCTGGATGAAGAGTGCAACATAAGAGTCTACAGGGAAGATTTAGATGAAGAAAATTGGGAACTAGTAGCTAAGTAAGTTGTGTTTACGTGTATTGAATTCTAATATGCTAGATCGCCTATATTTACATGATATTTTTCAACAATGATATCAAATATATTCCTCGAATAAATCTCATCTTTCAACGATATTTTATACAACATTCGTAAATATGATAGGGACCGAGAGGGTGTTGTCGATCTTATAAACACCTTGTCGAACGGCGAAGCCGGAGCTATACCTATCAACGAGGATAGCAACAGCTTGGAAATTTCTGAGAAACCTATAATAGACACCGGTCAGGTGACGACGTCGCCGAGTCTGGAGGACGAAGTTGTACAAGAGAATAACGCTCGTGCGAACGAGATGAATGACAAACAGCTACCGAATGGTAGGAGCGATGAATTCGAGGACGAGCAAGAACATGAGCAGAATCAAGACCAGGATCAGGATCAGGATCAAAATCAGGATGACATAGGTAACGAGGCTGAAAATGATGAAGAGGACATCGATGCGGAGGAGGATGTGACAAATGATGAAAGTTCCAAGCAAATCACGGAGGAAGACGATTCTCAAGAAATGGTACAAACTCCGAGCACAGAATCAAGGTGTACAGACAATTTGAAAACGATAAACGCAAAGGTGGACACGACAGCAGTGGAAGACGCGAGCAACAAAGAGGCTACCGATGAAACATCCGCCGTCTCTTCAGCGTCAGAGACCAAGTCCGTGGTGATGCATAAACCAACCGTACTCACGATAATTAGTGGCGCTAAGAGCGAACTCGAGGAATCAGCGCCGTTGAAATCGATAGAAACACCTGTCATCACGTCCCCGCTGAAACTGGTCAATATTGCTGAACTAAAGCAGGCACCGGAAGAGAAGTTAACGAGTCCAACGACACCTGTCGCTGCAGTATTAAACACGATGAAGAAGCTTGGCGCCGCCGACGAGATCCCGGTGGATCCCGTCGTGAAGACGCACGAAAAACTACCCGGCAAGAATAGCCTACCATTTCCGACCGCCGATTCTATTCCCGTGGGGCATAGCAAGCTGTCCGTCAAACCGATAGATCAATTGGCCGCGAATCTCGTGAGGATACAATCGGAGAAGCTCGAGAAGCCGAGCGGGCCGAAGTCATTGGAGAAGATAGCGGAATCTCTGGCAAGGTCGTCCGGCGGTATACTGGGAAATTTAATGAACGGTAACGAGGACGACAGGCTACCGCAAGACTTCTGTGCGAGGAATCAGTCCGAGAAGCCGGCGATGCTCCGGGGGCACAGAGGTATAGATCTGTCTACGTCGCCACGAGGATGGGAGAATGCAAACGAACAAAACCGACCGATGGATTTCTCTGGAATCGATCTTTCTAGTCGAAAGCTGGCCAAAACGGTGGATATGCCCTCCCCTGGATATCGAGCACCAGACTTCCAGCACAGGGAGATGGATCTCAGCACGAAGAAGTTGAGCAAACCGCCGGAGGTGCCGCCCAACTTACCGTACGACGCGCGGAGCGTGATGATGCGGAATCACGCGATGTTGGCCGATCTGAGTAAAAGGCAGATTCCGCCGTTTTCCTCGTACGAGATGTCAACACCGTATCACAATACAGTTAGATTACCCGCCAAGGAGGAGCATAGATTACCCAGCTACACGATACTCCCCGATCCCAGCAAGATCACAGCCCTGAGAATGAACACCGCGCCGATGAAGCGTCCGTTGGAGGGTGACGACGCGCAGCAAGACATGCTGAAGAGGATAAGAGCCGATGTGATCCCGATCAGAGGCTCCATGGACAAAAGATCGATGATGAGCAGCAGTTGGAGAGAGGACATAGGCGAAGCTATCGAGGAGCCGATGATGATGGTTCAGGGCGAGGGCTCTGGCAGCGATTGCGACGCGGTGAATCCCATCGTCGGTGAGGCTGTCGAAGAGCCGACGAGTTTTTTTTACGGCGAGGGCTCCGGCGCTGAATGCAACACGGGTAACCCCGGCGACGACGCGTCCACTGACAATAAAGAAAGCAACGAATCAAAAAATGAACCTGACTCGGCCAGCGCGGCGCTGTCGCAGAATAAGGTTTTAACCGAGGACGATGTGTCCGCGGACTCGATACTGTCGAATAAAACCCCTGTAAAATTAAATAGAAACTACCCGCAGTCTAATGTAAGCGTAAACGATAATTGTCAAATAGTAGATTCTATGCAAGAGAAGCCAAAGTTCAAGCCGACGTTAGGCGTTCAGATAATACCGAAGAGTACAACCGGCCCCGTCAAAAGGCTGTCCAGGTGGGACGTGGGTAAGCCGGAGGAGAAGGCGGAATGCGACAGTAGTATCATATCAAACGAAGGAAACATATCACTGAAGGAAAGTACGAATGATCACGATGACGCAGAACGGAGGTTCTCGAGCGTGGACGTGGAACTGTCCCAAGCTGAACGCGAGGACTCCACTGGCGCACATCGAGACGTGGTGGACAAGGTGGACGGGAGCAGCTCCGAGGCTGCAGAAAACGAAACGATCGAGGACAGTTCCAAGTCGCAAGTGTCTGACACGAGTTCGGACAATGTACAAAGTACAATGGAGAAGGAGACGGCGGGCTCGAAGATTCAAGAACCCACGCAGTGCGATTCGTCCGTATCGTCGTGTCAAGCGGACACCTCACAGAGGCTCGAGTCGTGCACGAATTCTGAAGCTGTGGTAGATTCGGCCAACGTACAAAACGCTTTCGACCCGATTTCGGGCGTAGCTTCGCGCGAATCGGACGCTTCCGAGGCGGCGGATAATGAATGCAAGCCAACAGCCGCGTCCCCGCCGAGATTTTTTTTTGGTCCCAATTGTATCTCCTACACTTCCAAGTCCGATGAGCTGAGACAGCAACCGGAGCAAAGTCTTAGTGCATCGGCGCACTCGAACACCGACACTGTGCAGTACGAGTGCGTGTCGTCGTCTAAATCGGTGGACGACACGCCGTATCTGTATAAGACGGAAGATTTCGACCTGACGCGCACGAATAACAACTCTTTAAAAACAAATCCGTTCGCCGCGGAGCCGGACGATATCTCAAGTGGAACTAGCAGCAAGGATGTGGAGAAGACTGAGGAGCCGAGTAACGCCTGGAGTCAACAGACTTTAGCGGCGCTCAGCAGCTCGGAAGATCCGACCGACGTAGCCGACGAGGCCAATGTCGCTAATTCGTCCAGCGAAACGCAGGCTCAGACGCAGATTGCCAGTGCAGATGAGAGTGTGCAGGAGTCCGTTTGCTCCAGCAAGGAAGTGGAAGAGGCCGGCAGTTTCAAATCGAACATGAGCTCTCCGTCAGAGGTGATATCTGGGAGCGATGGCACGAATGAGATAAGCATGACCGAAGAAGAACCGGTGGTTAAAATCACTTCGGCCAGCGAGCACAGCGTGACTCAAGCCGCTCTGGAGAGCGGCATCGTCGGACCGTCACAATGTGACCAGTCCACTGATTCCAGAAAATCCGCCAACACGAGCCAACAAGAGAGCCCGTTCGAGAGATCAGACGACATCACGTCGCAACTGTCGGAAGAGGGGGAGAGAAACGACAAGCCAACAGTCGATTACTCGAAAAACGAGGACGATTATCAGTTGCCTACCACCGGCGTATTCAAGGAAGATCAAGAGAAGACCGAGTCCGTGACTACGGCGCACTCGTCTTTGTCGTCTCTTACGCAGAACTCGCAAACCGAACTGGCCGACCTTCGAGAATTCGAGGACGGTAACAACTCGAACGAGTTGCTAGATTCCACCAATTCGAACAGATGCGCGAGTTACCAGGATACGAGTAGTAGACCGATGAGCGAGGCACTCCAGAAGAACGATCTGGACTCGGCCGGGGAGAGCTGCGACAAGCAGAGCGACAGGAACGACAATTTCTCCGAGATCGATGGTCAAGAGGATCACTCCACCGACACGGACAACGAGAAGATGAAGGGTCTGACCGGCTCTGACGCCGACTCGATGTGCGTCAACTACGACAGGAGCAGCGAGAGGACAGACGCCTTGTCGGACGTGGGTATGCAAGACGACGGATCGGGCGACTCCGAGGAAGCCAAGGAGAAAGCGCTGAACGATGTGCAAGTGAACGATACAGCTTTCGGCATCGAGCCCGAGATGCAACTGCCTGAAAGTTCTCTGGTGACTAGCTCAAAACCGACGCCGGAGAACGACAAGCTTGATTTAGTTCCTACTATAAGCAGCTCGGACGACGCCTGCGTACAAGACTCCTCATCCCAGGAGAGTGAACCTGCGCGAGTAGCTGATGAAACAGTCGAGAACGCGCCGAATGTTACCGATGAGCCTTCCACGTTCAACACCCTGCCTGCGCTGACGCCCGAGGCGAGTGTCTTCGAATTGACCAAGCAGCCCAGCAGCGTGGGAAGCGCGAGAGACACGAGTTTGACTAACTTGGTGCAGTCCACGAGCGAGTACGCCGACGATATGTCCGAAAATCCCAGCTCTTGCATCGATCAGGACTCGAACGAGGAAATGGTTATAGACGATCGCGTGTCCGAATCCAACGAGTCGTCCAAAGAGATCGACGAGGCTGTAACGAATGCGGAGCAACAACAGACAGATACAGCGCAAGAATTCGAGGGGCAGGAAGAGCCGGTCTCGACGAACGTCGTCCAAGGGGAATCCTGTCCGACCGCAACGGAAGCTGAAAAACGGAAGCCGGCAGAGGAGAAATTTGAAGCTGACTTGGGGAGTGAAAGCGTCAACAATCTTAAGGAGTCGAACGAAGATGACGAGAGTACAGTTCTCAGCAATGATAAGCCGAGCACGACAATCGCGGATGGTGTCTGTGAGATCGACAGAAGCAAAGAGTTTGTCGAGAGCACAGAAGAGTCGGAGATAGACACATCGACTGCGGTAATGCCGGAGTCGAAGGTGGATACGACGAACGTGACTCCTCAGGGATCACAGACGGAGATAACGAGTGATAACAATCAGCCATTAGTTGCAAATTACGACAGCGATTCCAATGACGACGGTAGCGACGATGTTTTCGAGCCTGACGCTGCAGCGGGGACGAGTGAGTCCAAGGACGACGCTGCTACCTCTTCGACAGGACGAGAGAAGAGCGAAGAGCCTGAGGAGGAGCCAGCGATTATAGAGGACGAGGTTAATAGCGCGAATTCGACGTCTAATGTGTCCCTGGAATCTCCATCTGCTGTTGAGCAGCAGATGGAGGAACCTGTTAAAATGAACCAAGTATTGAATCAAGATACCACAGCTGTGGAGCAAGATGTTAAAGTAAGCGCGCATCAAGAAGAATGTACCAAGGAGACGCAAGATGAATCTATTTACAATAGCTTTGAACATTGTTCGAACGACGAATCGACGACGTCGTCGGATAAAGGTGAGCTCCTGGAAGAGCCGGATGTCTCTATTGCCGATCATCCTCAGCCATCGGAAGAGTCAGACTCGACGAAGCTTGCGGCAGCCTTGGCTGCAACTGAGGAAACCACCGAGTCTATTCTGAGCAAGAGTGTTGAGATGACTATCGATCATAGTGAGAAGAGCAAGGAGCGCCTGAACAATTTGATCGAGAATATGAAGACCGCGCGAGACGCGGCGCAAGATATCGTTGAAATGTCGGAGAAGTCGGATCGTGTAACGTCGGAGAGCGTCTGTGAGCTAAAAGATGACGCGAATAAATTCGAGAAGTCCTCGTTCGTCCGTGAAAGCACGGAGTTCAATGACGTGGACAGCCAAGTTACCAACGTGCTGCTGCACGCGAAGGAGCAGCAGCATGCGAGAAGTCCAGACGAGAAACCGAACGTCAATTTGGACGTCGAGAACATTACGAAGCTGAAAGATGCTAATGAACGTATTATCGAGGACCTGCCTGTTACGCAACCGTGCAAGAGATTGAAAGAAGATCTCGAGGAGTATCGTGGCAGCGACGTTAAATTAGCAATAGAAGACAGTTTAACCAAACCGTTCATGGAAGGTGTGAGCTTGCCGATTCACACCGAACTAGAAGTTATGCCCATGAAATTGGACAAAGCGTTACCTGCGGACAAATCGCACACGTGGAAAACCGAAGACGCGAATTTGGAGGGGAGCGTGTCGTCGGACACGCTGTATTACCCGAACTCGATGTTCATGAAGATGGAGAATATCAACAACGTGGACAGCTGCAACAATCAAAACGAGCCTTTTAATATAAGTATGAGTGTAAATAAAATTACTGAAAACTTTAGTAAGAGCTCGGCTTCTGGTGCGAGTGACGACAAGTCGACCACGTTTCTTCCTGCTCAAGAGACCGTTTCAGAAATCGGTACTGTCAGATCCGACTCGAAGAAAGAGGCCAGTAAGCGACTGAACGACGCGTCCGATGTCGAAGGTGTCCCTCCGATCAAGTCGAAACCTCCTTATTTGGAGACCGAACAGAAGATACTGGAGAATTTGGTGAGTGCCGATGTGGCAGCGCCTAAAAACGTGGATACGTTCAGCGAGATCGTAAAATTAGGGGCGAAAATTGAAGATGAAGAGAGACCACCGGCGATCTCTACGATGCAGTTGTTTCAAAACGATTTCGGCACAATAAATGACTCCACGACTGCCGCACCGGCGGACGACTTGAGGAAAATCGAAAGCCTGGAGACGTCAAAGGAGAAAGAATCGTCGGAGATCCAGAGCGTCGAAGTGAAAGAGATTCACGATATCTCCGACGACTCGACAGGTGTGGATAATGAAAGTATCTTCAATACACCGTTGGAGGAAGCTGATCCCTTAGCGTGCACCGACGATGACGCTTTGAAGAATATCGTCGAGGACGACACCACTTCCAAGATCAGCATTCGTGTAAAACCGGTGTCTGAGCTGGTTTACGAGGGGTGGAAGTTGGACAACACTATAGAAACCCCGAAGATCTCGCGAAAGCGACGAAACAGCGCCCACGAGTCGAATTCTGAAGACGGAGCTGCGAAGCAGGAAGATGAAGAGATGATGGGCGGCAAGAGGATGAAATTACGCGGGAAACGCATGCCTGATAGGGAACTACGAAAGTCCATCGAGGAAAGTCGGGTAGTAACAACTATAAGCTCCGAGGATGAGGCTGTGAAATGCGAGGTTCCTGAGAACGTAACGGAACACGTGAACAAGGACAACGATGATCTGAATATAATACACGCAACGGTGATCGATAGAAAGACTAGGGGTCGTCCCAGAGGCAGGCGGAGGCGCGGTTGCCGGGGTGCTGGGCGACCCAGTCGGCCGAAAATCACAGGATTTCAGGGCGATCAAGTGCCGGCTGATATTCTTCCTGATGGTACTCCAAACAACACTCTGAATATAACACCTACAACGCAGAAGAGGCGGAAGAAACGTGAGTAATACAGATGTAATAATTGTTCATGAGAAACGTAACACGTTGGAGACGGTTTGTTGAAAAGCAGTATATTGGACTAAGATACTTTTACTTTTACAGGAAAGATGGTCTTGGGCTTAGAGATAGGTAGAGACATTGCATTGGAAACGGAAACACCGATGGATCAAGATGAGATGCCTGTCAGGCAGTCAAGAAGAATAGCACAATTGAAAATCAAAGAACAGGCGGACAGACGCAGGATCGAGGAGGAAACCATGCGCGAGCTGGAGGAAAAAAAGGAATCTGAGAAGAAGAAGAGGAAGAAGCAGAAGGTATGTTTCTGTATAAACACGAGAGAGAGAGAGAGAGAGAGAGAGAGAGAGAGAGAGAGAGAGAGAGAGAGAGAAATGGCAGACTATAGAACGTGTGAGTAATCGGCCGTTTTTTATACAGCCGGAAAGCGAGGAGGAAGTTATCATCAAAGAAATTGAAAAGGAGAAAAAGTCTAAGAACAAGCGCCGAAAGAGGAAAAAGAAAAAGATGCTGGCGAAATTCAATGAAGCGAATCCATGGCAGAGCTCGTCTGGGTCTAGCAGTGATGAGGAGAATGAAAATGAGGACGAGGAGGAGGAAGAGGAGGACATGGAGAGCGAGGGATCCCTGCTGTTCAAAAGTGATCACGAATTTTCTCCGGAGAGCGATCTCGAGAAGGACCAAGAGTCAGAACCGTTGAGACGTGCCAGAACCGCTCAGAAGGGTAAGTTCTCTGCTAAGAAGGAAAATTTTGATTGAATTCCTATTGAATTATGTATAATCCCATTGCGCGTTTTTCATCCTTTATTAGCTCAAAGCGATGTCGAAGAAGCCGAAGACGAGTACGCTTGTCAGAAATGTAACAAAGCTGATCATCCGGAATGGATTCTCCTGTGCGACTCGTGCGATAAAGGTTGGCACTGCTCATGTCTCAGGCCAGCTCTCATGCTCATACCCGAAGGTGACTGGTTCTGCCCGCCGTGTCAGCATGTGAGTCTCTCACTTCATTTAAACATCAAGCGTCGCACGATACTTGCACGACACGAGCGATTGCTCGTTTGAATTTGTAAATATATTTGTTATAAAATTTATCTTTCAAGAATCTGCTGGTAACGAAGCTACGGGAGACCTTGAAGACATTCGATCAGTTAACAAAGAGACATGAAAATGAAGCACTACGAAAGAAGCGATTGGCATTTGTCGGCATAAGCTTGGATAATGTGCTTCACAAGGGTGACGCGACGCAGCGCTTACCGAAAGGATCGAAAGCATCCAGTCAGGAATCAGATAACGGTAGGTGTTATATTTTTTTACTGCGATTATATATTATCTTAATTGTTATTTCAATGAAGTTCATAATTCATGCATTGCTTTAAACTGGTTTTATAGAATCTACGTCTTCCTCGTCGCCCTCATGTTCAGAAACATCAAGCAGCGAGGAGAGCGAACCAGTTTACCAATTACGCGAACGTCGGTGTGCCAACACCTATAAATTTCACGAATACGATGACATGATCAACGCTGCGATTCAGGACGAAGTCGAAGCGGTTCAAGGTGCTGGCAATCAGGGAAGAGGCAAAGACATCGCGACGATAGTTAACGCAGAGAAGGAGGAGGCTCAGGTAAAATGATTAAATGCTGAAACATATGTGAGAATGCGACAGTATTATGACATATTTCTGATTAATTTCCAGGCCGAAGCGTTAAAGATGACGCAATTGGAGGAAGACAGGGACGATATCGAGAGGAAATCGGAAAAAGAAAGCGACGAAGAATACAAGATCGAAAATGAAGATATGATCGACGAGATAGAGGAAGAACGAAATCGAGTTGCCAAGAAGCTGTTGGCACGCAAAAAACACCGGAAACTAAATAGTCTCGATATAAGCAGCGAAGACGACCCTGAGAGTGACGAAGATTTCAAGGGCACGAGTTCCGAAGAAGAGGAGGACTTTGACGATCACATCACATCTTCTGATGACAGTACCTTTGCCGATGTAAAACGACGCGGTAGAAAGGGCGACGCTCGTCCCGTCAGAAGGTCTACTAGGGCGCGTATGACCCGAGGATACGACGATGATTTTAGTGAGTTGTCTCTGCGAATAAAAATCTACTTATTCTGTCACTGAATATCAATGTTTTATATGTAATATTTCTTGTGTGTATCTCTTTAAAAAAATGTTTTAACATTTATACATTTTTAATTAAATCTGTTTCTAGAGAAAAAGAGAAAAGTTATCTCAGATTGTAAATTATTATATAGAAATATTCATTTCAGTTAACGACGACAGTGACGAGAGTGATCGACCCAAGCGAAAGAAGTCGCGGTCGATATGGGGAGATTCGGACAGCGAAGACAGTGATAATTCGTGGCGGCAGCGAAAGAAAAAGTAAGAGAGAGAGAGAGAGAGAGAGAGAGGGAAAGAAGTGCCCAACATTAAAAATTATATATTGAAAATGACCAAAGACAATATTTTAATTGTTGTCTGATTTTTAATTATTGTAGAAGTAGAACAATGGCGACGTCCAGAGTCAGGGCAGTGCCGAAACCGAAGGGAAAGAAGAAGAAAAAGAGAAAACGTATAATAGAATCCGACAATCAGAGCGAGAATGACGAGGAGGACGAGCCGAAAATCGAAGAACAATGCGAACCGAACTTGCCAGACGTAGATACTACAGGACTGAACGAGATGCTGGACGTTAATAAGCAGGAAGATTTCGAAAATAACATGGGCGAAAATAATGTTGAAATGAAAGAGGAAGAGCTACCAGAAGCAATCTCGGAGATTCCACATGTACCGCAGATCCCACAACTGCAAGAGATCGCGTCGATTCCGAAAATCAAAAAAGTAAGTAATAGCTTAAATAATTTTGGTAGAACATGAAAATTAACATCGAATATGATTTTTTCAGGATGTCACGCCTAAACCGAAGAAGGTCCCGGCTATCAGGCGAAAGGTATGCTTACTTTAATTACAATAATACAAATAATTCACTGTTGGAAATGTTTTAAATATCTTTCTTAATCAACAACATGTCAGTAATCTATGCATGGTCTTCATGGTTTCAATATGAAATTTCTCGATCGCACACAGTCGATCTTATAACCGAGGACAGATCTAAGGATAGATTTTGTTTGTTTCGCATTAGAATATAAGACCATCTACAGGCTGTTACTACGTATATTTATACATATTGTACATTTATACATATTTATACATTTGTAATGAACAAGAATACCTTCAACCGTAAAGTGTACTGTGTGATTATCTATATTATCCTAATTGATTTGCATCATATTTCTCAGGGTAACCTTTTTTTCTTGTATTTATGTTAATTATATAAATTAGACGCGCATAATTTTATTTTGGAAAATGACAAAATTGGTTAAATTTTATCGTTTACAGATTATTTACGGCGGACTTCCAGATGAAAACAGACGAGAAGAGGAGGAAATATTAAGCAGAAGGACACGAGGGCGGAAGATCAATTATCGAGAAGAAATGGTGTCCGATAGCGAAGAGGTATGAATTTTGATTTTATAAAGTTGTAACATGTTAAAATTTGCGATTATTTCGCAGGAACTCAAGAAAGCGCTAATGATGAGGAAGACTGGAGAGAGCGAAGATGAATTCGTAGTGAACGAAGCCGACGAAATGAACGATGACGGGGACAAGGATTCCGACTCAGGTAATAAAGCGTGTTTCTATCACTTTATCAATTTTCTAGTTAAAAAAACATTATCTTTCTGTTAACTTTATATTAGACACCTGTCACTGACTTTACACCGTCATGCTGACTTGGGTTCATATTAAAAGTTTTAAATCTAACGGTATTGTTTGTTTCAGGAGATGTTTATATTCCCAAAAAGGATGCTCTGAAGTTTAAACACAAATCACCGAAAGCGAAGAAGGCACGAAACAGCAAGAGTCCAGCAGCGAAGCGTAAGTCGTTATCGGATGATACGCCGAAGCAAAGAAAAAAGCCAGGTCCAAAGCCAGGCAGTAAGAACAAAGCGCGAAAATTGAAACAGAAGGAAGAAACAGCGGACGGGGATATAATGAGCACGGGAATGGACAATCCAATTGGCGATATAGCATCCAAGATAGACGATAATTTGCCGGACAACGTCGGGTTGACAGCGACGACGATGTCGGTGGCGAGTTCGTTCACCGGAGACGTTCCAGAAGGTTCCCTGACGGGGCTCGGTGCTGGAGAGCTGGCCGATCTAGACGACGAGCAACTGGAGCAGATGATGATGGAGGACGAGGAGTACGGTCGACGACAGCTTGAACTCGCGGCGATCGAAATCGCGAAGAAAAAGAAAAAAGAGGAACGAGAAGCCAAGAAACTGGAAAAGGCTCGCTTGAAGGCTCTGGAGATACTGGCGGCGGAGAGGCAGAGAGATGCTAATGCGCCTGAAGGCACGGACGGCGAGGTGCCGAAGAAGAAGAAACGTGGTCGGCGCAGCAAGGCCGAGATAATCGCGGAACAGATGCGCAGAGATGGTGCTCCGAGTCTAGGGATAGCAAGTATGGCGCCTGCGATCAGCGGCGGTGTCACTCCGGACGGTGCCAGTGTTGTTTCGCACAATGTGAATCCTACGTTGTCTGCAGTTTTGACGCCCGACACCGACAGGAGCGCCGAAGGAGCACATATTCCCCTCATGACCGGACCAGACGGACAGCTCTTCAATCCCGATGGATCACCGATGAAGCCAAAACGACGCGGACGAGGTAAAGGTAAGAAGACACTGGCATTGGAGGCGGCTAGGGCGGCTGAGGCGGCAGCCAAGGCTGCAGCTGAAGCTGGTTTAATCGGTATGGGGACCGATTCAAACCCGGAAATGAAGCAGAACGATATCCCGAACGTTCTTCCTACGCCAGGCAGCAGTACATCCGGTTCAGCGCCGTCCACACCACCGGCGAACACTGTGCCGACTGCAGGTCCACCGTCGACGCAACCCTCGAACTCGCAGCCTGTTTATCCGTCGCTTCCACCCGGCCAGCAGTCTTCCGTCATCACGAGGATGCTGCAGTCGCAGCCGGTGTCTAGCAGTCCACAATCATTCACCGTCGCAGCGGCTGCGATGGGCCACAAATACTTCGGTGCACCCAACGCGGCCGGGCAGATGATGGGCGGCCCGCGAACAGGATATGAGATGCAACCACGCGCCAGGATCCCGTCCCCGTACCGGCAAGCCGGTCAATCTTCAATGCCGCCGCATTTCGCCGCGGTGGGCACGGGCACACCGACGATGCGCATGCGGGTACCCGGGCCACAAATGTACCACACCGGTCGCCATCCGATGGACCCGTCGCCGTCGGGCGGCGGGCCGATCTCTATCAACAGGGATCGCAGTTCACCGTTGACGCCTGGACCGGCGATGATCCCACCATCAGCCGGCAGTCCGTTGGCCAAGGGGGGACCGACGCCACCGCCGCCACCGCCACCGTACGTGCGAGGTGGCCCATCGATGGCCAGGTTCGCGGACAGCCCCATGGGACCCAGGCATCAAATGCCGCCGTTCACCAACGCGTCACCCGTTAACCACAACATGCAGCAGCCGTCACCACCGCCCAATCGACCACCTGGTAACTTCTCGCCTTACCACCCACCACCACCACCCAATTACCACTACGGCGCGTACCCACCGCCGCCGCCGATGTCCACGGCGGACGACGCAGCCGCTTACCAGACCTCGCCGTATCCGTCTGAGCACTTCTCGTCCCCAGCGGACAATCAGCCACCGATCCAGGCGCCGCCGCCGCAGGCACCACCTCCGCAACAGGCGCATCCAGGCGACCCCGGTGCCGGTAACAAGCAGTACGACGAGGAAGGCACTGGCGAGTTCGGCGGGCTGGTATCTTACTTCAGCAGCCAGAGGGAGGACGATCTCGATTCGTAGCATGAGTGAGAGCTTGGCCAACCCTGAATCGTTAGGTAGGGTCTAGGAGCGCGCGCTTGTCCGCGCTCTTTCATGCCCAAGTATAAGATCGCAACTTTTGCTGGAGAGGCGTGCCAGTAAGCAGAGACAGCGTATAGGTAAACGCATGAACGATTGCCCGGAGGACTCTCGCCGTGGATGAATCATATAAACCGCGCACGATGCTCGATGCTACCGTGTTTCTCCGTGTTCGCCGCGGTGGGCCGAGAGCGGAGCAGGGGGGAGGGCGGGGTGACACGGATGCATTTGTGTGTGTGTGTTTGTTCGCACGCGCGTGCGCTTGCAAAAGACAGAGCCCCACAGTCTTCCTCTTCGACCTCTGACAGCAAACAGTTGTCTGTAGCCTTTGCACTTCTTTGTGGAGAAGAAAGCCGCCGGCAGCAAGTCCATGGTTGGCCAAGTGTAGAGCGAAGTGGACGATGAGAAATCGGTGCGCGACGAAGGGCGAAGCCTATTTTCTAAGAATTGTAACTTTTTCTGTAATTAGCTTTCAGTTTCACCGGACAATTTGATAAGAGGACGCGCGCGAGCCGTATAACGCGCTGATAAGGTGCGGTCGCACCGTCCGAGGGACGACCAGACAAAAGATCTGACCAGAACTTTTTCACCATTATATTCGTTGCTAAATCGTCAGACGGGAGAACTTCGAGCGAAGTTACTTCCAAGATCAAGTTTGGTATGGCAGAAAAAAAGGGAAGTAAAGTGGGAAGAGTTAGGCTACACTATAGTAGTTGTTGCATGCCCCGTTGCGGAGAAGGAAGAGAAATCAGTCTTCGATAGCGACGAGAGGCGAGTGAAAATTATCGCATGTGGCTTGGATGACGCATTATTGTTAACGTGTACATATGTAAATACCGTAAGTCCTTTAGATTATATATTACATGTATTATATATACACACATACACACACAACACACACCCACAGTCATGCAAAATACTATAGAAGTGGATTAGTGCGCAAAGGGCACAAATGTAATATTTAAATTTAATCCAAAAAAGAATGGCATCTGAGTATAATAAATTAACAAATGGTGTGAAGACTATTACTATAATTATTTATAAAAGAAAGAAAAATTAAGAATTTATGATAGGCAGTATATTGTATTTTACAGATTTTACTTGGATAATTCTATGAGAAACCATTAAAAATATAGTTATATATATATATATATTATATATAAATATATATATATATATATACACACATATTGGAGAACAGGAGGCTGCTCTGAGTGCATCCTATATGAAGAGGGACGGCAAGGGACTTCTCCCAAAATGAAACTAGCATTAGAATAATCGGCGTGTGATGTGGAGAAGGGAGTAAATGAAATCCTATAATAACTTACCGTGCAATTACTTTATACATATATTTATATTAATTTCAAACTGTTCAGACATGTTTACATTTTTTTTATCGTACGATCATGTAGAAAGTATTTCTCGCTTTTAAGAAGGCGAACGCGCCCGAACGATATATATATATATATATATATACATATATATAATTATTTAATTATTAAAGACGCGTTAATAACATATATACAGATGATATTAAAGACGTCGTGATATATTTGATGGAATTTATTATTATTTTTATTCTTTTTTGTTCATTTGACGAATGGATTTGACAAGATTCGTCCGAGTCGCTAGTATGCGTCTATAGCGCGAAACTTGAAGGATAGGATGGTTTCATTTGGGCTCTTTATTTGAGGTTCCTTCCTGGACTTTTATTTGATCGGTATCCATACTCTCTTGTCTAAAGACAGGTGTGCGCTAAATGTGTGGCTCGATTCTAAATTTCTTCCAATACAACAATCGTTTATTCATTGTGCTTAAGTAAAATTTTAAGAATATGGATCGAATGATCAAATTGCTAACTTTGACAAGTCGATCCTTTGTCTTTTCCTGATTTTGATTTTAGGAGAATACAAGAAATTGCCACAAAGTTAACGAAGCAGTTAATGAAACTTCCTTGATGTCGAATGTCTTTAGGACTTTGTCACACCGCATTTAGCGCCGAGTGTGTGCGGTATGAATATCGGTCGATGAGTGAGATCGAAGTCCATGAAGGAAATTAGAATGAAACAAAATGATTAAATGGATTGGATACAGTTAACGATCCTAGAAGACACGTGTCCCACACTTCGCTAAGCTTCAGATTCTCAGTTCGTCGGATATATCGATGATCGCGACAGCCTCCTGCTCTTTGAAAGAGTCGTGTTAAAACAAGCGGCCATTAGCGGCCACATGTGCGACGCGAGGAAAGGAAAAAATCATTGTATCTGTTTAGTTATCACGTACGTGCATACCCCTAATATAAATAGAAGCTATATGAATAAGCGAAAAAAAGATATTACATTTATCTTAGGATTAGCTTGCTTGGGAGAGTTTCCTTTACTATGTTGAATATTTGACGACCGAATTAAACGGTTATAAACACACACATACACATACACTCATGAAAACACAATACTCCCTACAAACTACACGCCGTATAATGTAATAGAGGGGTTTACTACCACTAATTTTATTATTTTTACACCTATTACGACGTATATCTCGGTTGTACGCAGTTCGATGTACAATCACTATCGTCTTCTTCTTTAGACACAGCATGTCTTTAGAGCCGCCGATCCTCAGGCTGCGCCTCGAGGAAGTTAGCTTTGTCGTAATACCACTTAATGCTTCCTCCTTCTTCTGTTTAGCGTGCAATTGGCAGGAACGACCTGCGATCTCATATCTCGATGGTGATTCTTATGGAGGAAAGCAATGAGGTGTTTTGTATCAAAAGTCAGATATTTAGTGAGACGTATTCCACGACGCGTGTATCGATGGTACATCGACCAGATTAGAACGACCAATGTTTTGTGTGACTATAAAAGAAAATAGATATGATTCGGAAATATTTCGTGGAAAAAATTCGTGGTAAAAACGATTGAAGTAGCTTTTAGGAAATTAAGAGTTAATTAATTTGATTAATTAATAAATTGTACAATTTTTATGGATATATAAAGTATATTTTATGTATGTAAAATATACATATATACATAAAAAAAATTATATATATATATATATTTTATATATCTCCGAATCGTTTTTTCCTAATTTTCTTTTACTGTCCGAATTCGAAAGAGATCTTTGTTTTAATTTTTGCATGACACTCATATATTGATATGTCGAATTCTTTAATCGTTCTTTATGTCTTCAGACCACGAAACATTTGTCGCTCCGGTTTTGAAGTGTAGAGCACGTTTTTCTAAATAAGAATTCGCAAGTTTTAAGCGTGACACTGCATTTAGCGAAATTGTTCGAATATATACGATCGAATGTATTTGGAAATCATGTACGCGGTAATTTAAATTCCCAGTATATTCGATCGATTTATTTATCGGTATTTCAGATATATGTATCCTGCGTATATTCTCTAATATGTTACGGATGTATTTACAAATCATTGCAGCTGCAAAACGTTGTATGATTCTGGATGGCGACACGAGTATAGGCTGTTTAAATATTTTATAACGAGCATGGCAACTTTTCCAATATTTACGTGTTTCTTGTGTCTCTCTGCTCTTCCTCTCGTGGGTCTTTTCTCGAGGCGTAAACTGGCGAAGTGGCTCGTTAAGACAATAGTAAACGTGGTGCAGTTTAGCTTTTTTTTTCTTTTTTTTTTTTTTGATAAGGGTCTAGACCAAACGCAATTATTATATTACATGTTGTAGCCTAAATACAAACATTTTGTAATAAAATTCAATATATTGAAATAATATCAGATCGTTTTATTTTTTCCTTCATCTTGTTCTTCATTTCTGTAAAAATAAAACAGGAGAGGATAAAAAACAAATTTAATATTATCACAAGTTTTTATGGCAATAATTTTCCAGTGGTTGCGTGATTAAAAATTTGGATTATTTATAAAAACGAAGTTAAAAAATTCAGCACGTGTTTTGAAATAATACTCTTAAATTAGTTTATAATAAATTAGTTTATAAAATACAAAAGCGAAGTACTGTCTATCTATATATTGTTCTATAGTTATCGATAATTTGTAATCAATAACCGTCAATATTTTTCCATAGATCCGTGTGATTTCTCAACAAAAAAAAATTAATAAAAAAAGAGTGCACATTTATTTTCCTATATATTTTCTTATTATAATCTTTTTCTTATCCTTTTCATTAATTTTTCATAACTTAGAAGTTTCAACATATATGGTAGTAACATATATAATAGAAGAAACAAAATATTTCAAAAATATTTTATATAAAAAATTAGCTACTCTTATGATTTTGTCTCAGCTAAATTTTATGGAGGCCGATAATTATAGTTTGAGTCTCGGCTAGATAAAGTCATCTACGAAATATTATAAAGACTGTTTAATACGCTAAATCCCGTAATGGGCCTTCTACAATAAGCTATTAGTCATAAGTTGTAACCAAATTGACCAACCACAGTCGATTATTTAAAAAATAAAATCGACTGTGTGGTTGGTCAATTTGGTTACAACCACAGACTTCTATATACTAACTAGACCGCTGACTTCTGGTGATGGGATGATGGTGGGGTGAAGACGCCATATTGAGAGTACCGTGCGTATTTTTGTAATATCTGTGATGTGTCACGTGTTTCAATATAGACTACTCTAGTCATATGGATAAAGTGAAGAAATACAGAAGATCAAAGAGGTTAGAAGAAAAAGTAGCGAAAAGAAAAAGTAATGGGAAAACAGTGCTGTGTGAGAAATTGTAATATGAAATGGAAATCGAAAAGTGGTGTACATTTGTTTGGGTACGTATAGTATTTGTTTATCGAAACATATTATTTTGGTTAGATTAAATGAAGAGCTGCTTTCATAAGAATAATGAGTAAAGATGAAACATCTTTATATTTAGAAAGAAAAGCACAAGTGAAGGATGCAAGTATAATTTAAATTATCTGTACAATATTGTAGTAACCATGTAAAAAACATTTATAACACTATTCAGGATAATAACAGGATATATAGTGTCATTTGTCGAATAGTATCTTGTACTTATAATATTACAGGTTTCCCTTAAAAGATGAAAATCGTCTTCATAAACGGATAGCTGTAGTTAAAAAACTAAATTGGAAGCCAACTAAGAACAGCAAAATATGTAGTTTGCATTTTAGCAGAAATGATATTATAGCAGGTATGGGATATACTCGTGTAATTTTATGTCCAGATGCGGTGCCAAGAGGCCAGTCTTCAAATAATGAAGAAAATAAGCAGTGTAATACATTGTTAAATGTAAAAGAAGTTTTCAATATTGAAAATAGTAAAACCAGTATCTTGACTGACAGTATTGATCATATTGATCATATTGATCATATTGATTGATAATTATATTGATAACGAAGCTGCTATAAAGAACACAAATTTAATGGAATTATCACATACACCTATCGAAAAAGGAGTTATACACCTGAATACAAAACAGATAGCTATTGAAATGAAACCAAGAGAATATTCCATTATATCCGATACACAAAGTATTAGAAGCAACTCAACAAATACAGACTCAGAGGAAGAAACATCTATTGAGGAGACGGTTCAATCTAAAAGTTTAAAGAAATTACAAAATGAAAATAGAACATTGAAATGGAAGTTGCAGAGACGTGATAAAAAGATTAGTTCAATGGAAACAATGCTTAATGAATTACAACAAAAGCAAATCATGGATAATGACAGTTTGCAATTACTAAAAGAACACTTTGGTGGTGTTATGTTCGAAATTATGCAAAATGAAGTAAAAAACCAGAAGTAAAGGTGAACGTTATACAGACGAGGTGAAAGAGTTTGCTTTATCCTTGTATTTTTCATCACCAAAAGGTTATGCATTTTGTAGGTAATAGATTTTCTTTTTCCCTTCTTTTTTAATGTCATTGTCCGTTACAGATACATTAAAACAACACAGATACTTTCTACAAACGTCTTAATGATGTTCCAAGATTCTAAGTATGTTTTTTGAGACGTTCTTAGAACATTGTATACTGCATGGGCATAAGTTTTATTTTATTAAATAACCTGTTTTTCATGAAAAATAATTAATTATTAACACTTTCTGCTTTTAACTCGTTTCTTCTTCAATATTCTGTTCTGTTCTTCAATGCAAATAGCTCATACTATTATAAGATATTTTTAAACTCTTTTTATAAAATCTTGCATGGTGTGCAATTTAGCTAGATGTTAAATTTAAAAATTTTTAAAGTTAAATATTTAACTAATTTGTAACTGATGAATGGTAATAAAACTTGGTTTTGTATTTATTGCATTGTTGATATTACATGTATTTATGAAAAAATAATTTGTTACTGTTATTCATAGAAAAAAAATTGGTGAAGCAAATTGTTGATGTGAATTTGAAAAAAATGCTGCAATTTTAATATAAAATGGGATCATATTTTTATTGCTTAATAATTGCATCTTGTATATGTTACAATGAAATAATGTTAATGTTCATTATTAGTGCAAACTCTATATATATATTTTTTTAGTAAAATATTACATATTTTCCAGGAAAATGTTCAGATTACCTGCTCCATCAACTTTGAGAAAACTACTATTGTCAGTTGATGCAGAGCCTGGCTTCCATGAAAACGTATTATCCGAGATAGGAAAACTGTCGACAGATGATCGATATTGTAATCTCGTGTTAGATGCCATGGCACTTAGAAAACAAATGATATGGGATGATTATAAGCATCAAATGGTAGACATACCTGATTATGGAAATATGGGACTGTTGGAAAAAATGGATTCCATAAACAAGATCGCAACCGAGGCATTGACGTTTATGCTTGTTAGTCTTAATGGAAAGTGGAAGTGCCCTATTGACAATTTTTTTCAAAGCAATATGACATCAATAATGCAGACTGAGCTAATAAAATCTGTATTAATATTGACTGATAAGTATAATATATGTTCATGTTATGTATATATATATATTTTATATATGCAAGGTTGAAATACATGTTATGAAATAATGTTTAAAAACAAAAAATAAGTAAATATATAAAAGGTTCTACTTCATTACACATATGATCTTTTTTATTCAATCTCACCTGAATTTATATCAATTTATCCTTTTTTGGCATATATAAATATGTGAAAATAGCTAATAAATTAAGTAAACTTTACACACACACACACGCATATATATATATATATATATACATTTCACAATGTTTCCTTATAATAAAGAAAAGAAATACACATTTCTTTCCATATTTCTCTTTATTTTATTTGATTTTTCTACAAATATTAAATTTTAATTAAAATATCTAATATTGACTTCAGTAGTGACTGTCCGTGTGATTTCTGTTTGTGTGAGTACCTTCATCATGGCGGCATACACCCTTTCCACTTGCGACACGTTTTGCCAGAAGTTAGCGGTCTAGTTAGTATATAGAAGTCTGTGGACAGGACAAACGTAATGTGCATGCATATTCTCAGGGGGCGGGTCGGAAAAAGCATCCCGGCATAACCGGCTCAGTGGCCGCTCTGAGGTTTTTCTCTGATTAAAGATAACATGTCGGTGTCATATCTTTTGCACTAGTGCAGAAAGTTCAGAGAGAACGTATTTCGTGTGTACAAAAATTTCAAGCGGCGCGATGGGGTGTAATGTTATTTAACTTAAAGTTCATATTCGATCGGTTGTAAAGATAATAATTCTGTAAATTGAAATGGAAGTAATAAATCGCTTCGACACGATGGACGAAAGGTACAAGTATTTCTCATTAATTCTCTCATAACTTGATGTTTATCACCATTATATCACGAGTATATTGTTTTTTAACAACATAATAGAACTGTGTTCGTGTTATAGCGCAGATGAGAATATAATGAGCGACGAAGCCGTTGGTGTCGTTTTGGAAGAAGCGGAGATAGTAGATTGTGACGCTGAAGCAGAGGTTGACGACGATAATGTACAGTATCACTTGTATGCAGTGAATAGGAGTGACAATACAATAACATACAAGGTTATGCATGTGAGCGATGCTCACAGAGAGAATAACGAGGTCTCGATAGCTACTCCAGTGAACAATGCCGTTCAGGTTTTAGCTTCTCCGTTAAATGGGCAATTTTACGTTCTAAGCAATGGTAATGATGTTGTTACATCAGAGACTGCACGAACAGTAGCACCTCGTGTAGCTAAGCTACAAATAGAAGGATCACAAAATATCATCACAGGCTTAAAGAAGGTAGATTGCTCAATGTTTGATATTATTAATATTTTACTGTGTATGCGTTTAAATTAAAGTTGAATTTTTATGTTATATTTAGAGGGATGAGAGGCGAAGAGCGACACACAATGAGGTTGAGAGACGTAGAAGAGATAAAATCAATAGTTGGATCACCAAATTAGGAAAGCTGTTGCCAGATTGTGACCAAAATACGAATGGAGAAGGAGATGCGAAAGTGAATTTTGAATCACAGGTACGATATTTCTGAATTCTTAAATCTACTTGTGTGTTAACAGCTGTGCTGTTTCTTATCCAGATGTATGTAACTGTTTATTATAGTAATGATTTTTATAGAGCAAAGGTGGCATACTGGCACGAGCATGTGAATACATTACAAAATTAAAGGAAGATCAAGAGAAATTGACTCAGAGTCTGGAGGAAAATGCACAGTTGACGGAAGAAGCTAAGAATCTCCGGCAAGTTGTGAATGACTTAAAAAGTGAAAATACAAAATTCAAGACTCAACTTCTAAAGGACGGCGCATTTATACTCGGCCCATAAATACCGTCAAGGATTAACATTAGATAAATTTTTTTTTATTATATATATCTTTTTTATCTAATATAGTTGATATATAGATCTTGCATCATGAATATTAAATAAAAATAGAGAGAGAAACTTGGACAAGACTTAATAGTTATAAAATGTTTATTTACATATATGCGTAACTCAGTATATACTCGTATCTGGAAAACAATCGCAATCATATCGTGTAACGATCTACTGTACACATTGTAAACAATAATTATTTATTTAACATGAATAATCGACCGTGCGAAAGCTCGTCGCTCGCATCGAACTCATTAAATCAGATATATAAATATACAAAACCATTTTTCACAACGTTTTAACCGATTAACCGGATAATCAACTGTACGCGAACGTCAGATACATGAGGCTTAACAGGTAGAGTTACTTAAATCGCTACAACGCGGTGAGTGAAGTTGCTTTCTCTAACGAGAGTGGACCTACAGTATTTACACTTAGAAAATACGCCTACGTATGTACAGAAAACAGAGCGATGCAGTACGCGGTATCTGTGCTTTTTTTCCTTAGATCATTGAACCGCGAGACAACTCTCGTTCGTCGCGGCATTGGGAACGAGCTCCGTTTTCCACGTCGTCACGCACACGATTATCGATCTCGGGAAAAACATTTGTGTTTTCTCTACGTGTAGTATATGAATTTATGTCGTATGTATACGTGTGTGTGTGTGTGTGTGTGTGTGTGTGTGTGTGTGTGTGTGTGTGTGTGTGTAAAAACGTTACGCACGTAACAGCTTAAATTATTATCGCAACAGTAACGCTTAGTAGTACTTATTGCTTCGAAGCACATTCCCTCGTGTTTCGTGCGAATCCTGCTTGACGATTTTTCAAAGTAACAGGTTTACCTTTTCTCTCAAGAGGAAGATAGAATACACACATCCACCACCGGAGGACAGATTATTATCCACCACCGATGTATAAATTAGTCGGCGCGTGTCGAGATTGCGTATATAGTAAGATATGTAGTTTACTTGTGTGTGTATGTGTGTGTGTGTGTGTGTGTGTGCCAATGGGAGTTCATGAGCGTACGAGGTACGGACTTTCGCGGATTCCGATTACTCGTTTGCACGTAGTGCAAAGATAAGGGTTTCTGGTATGTGCGAAAAGTCGTCGGATGCTTGGTTGTGCATTACGCAGGTAGTTATCGCGGCCGGACGAAGCGAACACGAGAGTCCGGGAGTGTCCGGTAGCGCCTCGAGGATCATCTCTAGGGAGAGCCGGCGATCTCCATCGCCTGACGTTCTTTAAATGACGGACATCGAACCTGCGAACCCTCGCGCACCTTCGCGGCCCCGTTGCAAGCTCGTTACTTATCCCTAACGAGATACCTGTTCCTTATACTTACATTGGCCATTAAAGCAGTCCGTGTATAATTAGCAATACTTATAAGAAAATCACATTCGAGAACTAATATGTGTGTATGAGTCGTCTCTCCTATAAAAATAACTCTGAAATCAGTTGGGTCCAGCAACAGATATCGCGGTCTCTCCTAGTCTAAACATCAACAGGCTAATGATCTCTGTACAGTACTTCGTAGGAATCTTGATCCATTCTTTTATCATTATATTGTCCTCGTCGTTATAGTAAATTACGGTGTCGGCGAAATAAGCGAAAATATACCCATCTGTGTTTGTGTCGTAGAAAAAACGCAAGTATTCTCACTATCAGAGTCGCATCCCGCATCCCCGGACGCAAACGTTCGAAACAATATCATCCCGCGTTCTCCTCACCTTTTACAAAATACGTGTATCGGGGGAGAGAATGCCGATCTCTTCTCTACTAAAACACAGGTCAAACAATTCTAACGAACGAAGACGTTTTATTTTTCTTTTAAACTTATTGGCAGTGTTGGAAAACTTTCAGGATCCGTGATTAAGTTTTGCTAAAACTCCAAGATCGAACGTGCTCTTTTATTATTTTTTATTTTTGTTTGCCAAGTAAAAACCGCGTAGATAATACGCAACGTGTGAGTTATTTTTTTCTCCTCTCTCCTTCTCTTTTATCCTTCTCTTTTATCTTCTTCTCGCGTGAAAAAACGTAGAGATTCATCCGTTTGCTGACTTTCGGCTTTACCTCTCTCTCTCTCTCTCTCTCTCTCTCTCCCCCTCTCTCTCTCTCTCTCTCTCTCTCTCTCTCTCTCTCTCTCACTCTCTAGCTCGTTATCGAATCTTCGTGTATTTTTCTATAGAAGAGTAGAAAAACTCGAAAGAGATTCCTTCTATTATTTCTCTCTCCTTCTGTCTCTCCCTTTTTCTTCTTCCTCTTCTCTCCTCCTTTCCTTTCTTGTTTTAGAAGCTCGCTGCTTCGTATCGCGATCGGACAGGGAGGCGTGATATGCGAGTATTTACAAGTTTAGTTTAATCATTTTTTGTTTATCCGCGTATGTGATTAATACTGCCGCTGCTGTGTTGTACCGTATAGAAACATAAATTTCCATCCCTCTGTCTCTCTCTCTCTCTCTGGCTCTTCCTCGCCGCCGTCGATTCTTCTTCTCTTTTTCGTCCTCCCATCTCTCGAGTCGCAATCCCGTTTACAAATTACTATAAGTATTACGATTATACAATGCTTTATGCAGAATAACGAACATTAGTTAGGCAGTAAGAGGTTACCGTATATAGCTCGCTGGAGACTTCGTGTGTCTACGAGATACAACTACGTTTCGTTGAGAGAAAAGTGGTGTGCGGAATCGGCGGCCGGTCGAAATTGATCGCGGGGGCAAATCGCCGGTCGGCGATTGCGAGCATCAAAGTAGCATCAGAATCTCGCGTCGCCGACGCGGTGTAACGTTGTGATCGAACTTGCTGACACTTTCACACGCGGAACTGCACGCAATACTACAAAACGATCAGTTCTCTCGCTGTACCACCACGGGTACGTAAAGTTGATTTACAAAAGTCACACGTAGCAGTGTCGAGAGCGATCTCGACGAAGGCGGATCTACGTACGTAATACCTCGACATCCTCACAAACCTCCTCCCATTTCTCTCTCCCGATTTCTCTCGCTATTCAAAGCTTACAATCGTTCTCCTCCCGAAGAAGCGTTTCTCTGTCTTTCTCTCTTGGTCGTCAGTCTTCCGATTATCATAAAAAATTGTAATAACGTGCCATCCAGCTGCTCTCACGCTCCGACTCGAAGAAAGCGATTACGCGTTTAACAATATAATCGTATATACGTGCCGTGACATTCTCAACGGTGTTTATGTATTATGAAACCGCGATGAAGGAGTGACTAGTACTTTCTCTTTAGTACTTCTGAAGCCCGCTATTGACTTTATACATTTATACTATCTACTTTTCCCTAGGTCTCTCTCTCTCTCTCTCTCTCTCTCTCTTTCTCTCTCTCCTTTTCTTCCTACCTCCTGTAGAGATTACTCTCATGGATTATTTAACGATAGTCTCGTACGCGATGCGCCTTTCGCCAAATGTATCTACAAAATCAATGTTACATCCCTCTCGTCGTCACTCGCCAAAGTATCCCTCCAACTGGCTGATGACGGCAATTTCTCGGATCACGTTGACGCTGATAACGCGCTGATGTCGCGCCGAGAACGACACTTGCAAATTCCCGCGAAGACGATCGCGAATCGGCTCGAGGACTGGCCGGGAGTCGTTGCCGAACGAGTTCCGAAAACGTAACGAGCGCTCCTCGTCGACCCAGATGGTGTCCCGACTTTGAACGCGCGGTAATCTAATCAGCACGACGACGTGAAAGCGTCTACTCAACAGAGAGAAGCGTCCGCCTGTCTCTCCGCGCGAGAGGCAGTGAATGAGAAAAGTCGTTGAAGTTCCTTCTGCTGCTTTCGGATCGTCGCGCGATTACTCGACAGGCGGAACGCACTGACCGTGATCGACTGATGAGGACAGATCGGTCACTTGTTCTACCTTGGTAGAAGAGGTATACGTTATAGGACAAACTCAACTAAGCGAGTAAATATAACACCTAAGTACCTTCGTGCCGTACGTATGACGGAGCGCTGCTCGTCGTCGGTGCCGAGGAACCTTAGCGGTTGAGGTGTCGAGCCTCTGTCGATTCGCGATCAGCAAACACGACTCGGCAACACGCGAGATTACAACTGCACATGCTGAACAATGTTGAACTCTGACTGATCGAGCGCTCGATCAGGTCTCCGGCCGAACGGGTTTTTAAGTATTTCCGGAGTATAATCGGTATCGAGGAGTCGGGCGCCGGGATTCCGGCAGGACGACGCAGCGCCGCGTAAGCCGCAGCTTTACAAGTCAATATACGGCACGAAGGTAGGCCTGTCTCAGGACGGTTGAAGCCGGGTGCTCTTCTTGCTGCTACCGAATGTGAACCAGGTCCCGACTTTCCGGCCCAGCGAGTTGGTGGTGCCCTGCGCGACCATCGCGGGCATCTCGTACGTCGATTCCCTCTTGTACGTTTTATCTGCAACGGCGTCCAAATGATATTTAAGTTAAGTTCATTAAAACTTAGCAATTGCCAGTTAAATCACGAAGAGACTCATTTCATCAAGTATCAAGTTGATATCGGTCGATGGGAATCGATATGAAAGCAAAGCAACTGCAAAGCGACTTGAAAATCCTTTAAGGTATTTTGACGAACTGCAGATTTATTGAACGAATGAACTCGCAGGCATAGTCGAGAACGTACTGCGAGGCTTGATCGGCGGCCTGTTTTGCTGCCTCCTCGCGGCTAGCCTGGCGAGCTGCCTGGCTGCAGCCGGAAACTCTAATCCGTCATTCCTATCCTGAGCCACCAATCTTCGTTCCTCGGCCATGGCCGCCAGCCAGCGTCGCTTCTCGTCCGCCGTGCGGCAACAGAACAGCAGCCACTTGTCCCGGACGCAGCTGTACACCTTCAGGCAGTGCCTCACTGTTACGCCCGATTGCAGATCTACGGGCAAAATTGATCGTTAGTTTGATCCATTTCTATCGACGATGATCGTGGTTAATATTTCGTATCACGTTGGCGACGAGACTATATTTTGTGAATTACTTAATAACGTTTCTCCTACTATAATGACAGATGCTACATGCAAGTTAGAATTCTCCGGAGTCGCATCGCAATTTGTCACCATTTTCCCTTGTCGCGAAAGATATCTCTTGGTGACAACTTTCTATTGGTTACCAAAGTTATCGAGACCGAATGTCTGTTACCTTTCCCGTCGGGCACATCGATAACCTCGCTGGTGTCGAGGTAAATGCGGCCTTTGTAGACGTAAGTGTTGCGCTTGAGGATGTCCTTTTTGCAGTAGACCAGTTGGTGATCGAAGAGGAACAGCGTGATGTTGTTCGTCCACATGCCGGTCGTCACTCTCATCGCCTCACCTTGGTAAATCAGTTGCGACGAAACTTCTATGAGATCCTCACCCTACGAGACAATTAGACGCGTTTCAGCGATTTTGACAGCCGAAGCGGACGGATATCTGACGCCATTGCGGACGACCTGAAGAGCGCGAACAACTTAGGGGATACTTCCGACTCACCTCCCAGCCTTCCACACGCATTTGCCACGCGGCTAGCTTCTCCAAACTCTCCATTCGTCTTTTTCTCTCGTTGATGAGCACCGCGACCCCTCTCATCGCCTCCAGCGCCTCTTGGATCTTGTGGTAATCCGGATGATCCGTTTTCGTATACTTGAACAGCTCCGCCAACTGGAGGGGATATTTACATATCCGTTGCACGGGGGTTAACAGATATCCGTCCAACGGGATCTCTATGAGACCCCTCATCAGCCGGCAGGCCTCGAAAAATTTGCTGTAACGATTGTGCTGGTAGAGCTCCTGCAGCGTCGCCATCGCCATCGGGTGGCTGTTGCAGTACTCGGAATACATGCGGAAGCCAGCCCTCTGAAACGACAATAGCTCATTACTTTATATTATACTCTCGGGAGTGCGCAAAGTTACGTACAGAATTACTTCCGATTCTTCGACCTTTTTCGTTAGTCTGAAAGAACTGTGGCCCAAAATCAATCAATAACGATCAATCAATCTGTCAAATGAACGCGTAATCATCGGCGAAAAATGAGTAAACTCGTTAACGTCACACTAACGTGATTCAGAAAGCACTCGCCGACGCAGCTTTTGTGCGGCGCGTTCCAATCGATGCAGGCCTCGAGGTCTTTGAGGAACTCGGACTGGAAGTCCAGCAGCTCCTCGAGGTTGATGAAGATCGTCTCGATCTGCTCCTCGGTGAACATGTCGGTGTGCCTGCGGCACTCTGCGATGTAGCCCTCGGCGACGTCGCGCAGCACCTTCACGAAGTCGCGCTCGGTCTGGACGAGCTCGCGGACCACGCTGGTCCTCACCTGCTCGTTCGAGAGAAGAGACACGCTCGTGCGCCTTCTCAGCTGAGTGGCCGACGATACTCCCGAAGCCATCGCGGCCAGGCAATCTTCCACCGTGTCTTCTTGACTCACTCGTAACTGCGGACACACATTGCTTGAAATCAAACTCAAAAAATTTCCAGATCTTTTTTCAGCTTGTCTTTAAATATTTGAATTAAAGTATCGTTGACCATGAAAGAAGGAGGGCGTCGTACTAGGTAGGGCGACGGGAAAACGCCGTGCGTTCTCGGGATCTGCATCTTATTTGCGTTCCGAAGAGAGAAAAATAATCGGAGAGAGCGCGACCGGGTCGCTAAGACCGGCGGGAATCGAACCCGAGTCTTTCGCTTGCCGGGCGACTCTGCTCTAAACTATTGAGCTACCTGACGCTCCACGCTCACGATACCAGGATCGACACAGAGATGAGACTGTTTATCTGACTTTTATCTCTAAAATATTGACACACTTCAATAGATAACTTATTTACTAAAATATAGTAGGAATGAGCGCTGCAAGAGAAGTAGTGTCGCGACCAAATCTGAAATCTTTGTTTAGGACTCTCTCGAGTCGAGAAAGATCTGGTTGGACAAATTTGATAAAAGTTAAACAAATTTGACGTGACATTGTTCCACAACGTCCGTATCTGGGTTCTTATTGACTCTTCCCACTCCATTGTTGACATTGTATCCCTTCTTCCCTTCTCCCAAAGATGATCTCGAAGACCTACCCTGACGAAAGCGGCTGGAAACCATCCGTGTATTCCTCTGCAGCTGCCCCACCACCAGTCCTTGTCCAGCGTATCGAGGACGTCGATGACGTCCCCGGCGCGAAAGGCCAGCTCCTCCGTCTCCATCGCCACGTGATCCCAGACAGCCTCAGCCAGGATAGCCACATCCTCGTCCATCGTCTGCTCGAGAGATTTCTTCCTGTCCGTCAACGAGGCGACCGAGGATTCAGAGTCGGACATCATCTCGTCGTCGGATGTGCCAGCTCTACCGTCCTGCTCGTCCTCGGACAGCACGTTGCCACCGGGCAATCTCACGCCTGTTCCGGAGTAGAACGTATTATCGTAATCCAACGTGGGAGAATAAACGTCGGGCGTGCAACGTAGAGCCGTGCGACGCCGGACGTACGGGTTGATCCTACTTGCGAGTCCTTTGCGGCTTAGAAAAGTATGCAAATTAATTCGGCGCGTGTGATTCCGCCGCAAGCTCCCGGGAGAGCGAAAGAGGACTGTTTCGCGTTCGGATGTACGAGGCGGCGGTTCTCTGACAATCCGAACGCCTCTCCTAAAATTACGACTCGCAGACTCGCGACGGACGAGGACAGTCACGAGGAAAATTCGCGGCTAGGAAATTCGGTTATTTTTCCGCGAGAGAAACTGCGTCCTCTTCCTTTAAGTCTTTCTCCTCTCTTTCGTTCTTTTCTCCTTGATGACATGAAGCTCGTTAAGGATGGATAAGGACTTGTGTGTGATAAGGAAATGATTCACAGTGCAGGGAATGTCGCGACATTTCACTCGGCTCGCCGCGGCGTTCCTCCGGGAGTTATCGCGCGACAACGACCGGCCCTCCCGTCGGCCAATAAGCGTCCATCGTGCAGCTTTCGTTGTGAGCCATCGGGAAAAGAATGAAACAGTTTTCATGAGATCCCACGTGAGAAGGTGAGTCTGCCGGAGTACCTCCGAAAAATTCCGTTAACTGCGGACGCGATTGATCGCATCGCCTCGGGATGCCGCTGATCTCTCTCGAAAGCGACAACGCGGGGCCGCCGCGTTCACGAGGTGCTTCGGCAAACTCTTCGTTCTCTCTCCACCTCTCCCTCCTCCTCTCCTCTACTAAGAGACTTGCAAAACAGAGAAGCGTTCTCATATGAAGCAACGTTCTTATCACATGGGCGAAAATCAGCACGATTATTACAAAGGGGGCGGGGAGGGGGGGGGGTGGTCCTCCATTCCTTACTCTCGCGTCTCTTTCTATCGTCCGTTCTCTTTTCCCTTTTCTTTTCGTTTCGTTTCTCTTACTTAGGGTGCATTCGACGACAACACACGGTGTGAGAATGCTCAACAAGGCTGTCTTTACGGGGGTTGCATGCTGAATATACTCTTCAAGTCACGATGTCTAAAGAGAAACCGAAGGTCTCTGGAGTACACTGTGCACTAAGAGAGTTCGTCGAGAGAGGTTTTCTACTGGGGTGTAAAGTCCTCCTATCCAGCGCGTGCGTCTTACCCCTTCGCATTTAACGCTGCCCGCGGAAGAAGACTCGAGCGATTTCAAGGCTACCTCGCCTTCGTATCGAAACGCTCTCGGCGAGTACTCGCGGGAAATACCGCAATGCTTAGCTCTCTCAAAGATTTCCGTCTCGTTTCAATATTATCTTACGATTCCTCCCTCTCTGTCGCGACCTTTCTTTTGCATTACGTCACGCGCTGAGAGTGAGCTCGAGGCGCGGGCGAGGTGTGTTCTTCGGCGATAAAACGCCCGACGAATCTCGCGAGTCACATCGATCGTTTCCAGCGGCTTTCGGTTCAGCGGCAATTCGCGTAAACGCGCGACTGCACGCGGCCGATAGGGTTGCGCGATTTACACACGCGCTCGGTAGGAAAACAGGAGGAGCACGTGATCTACGTGAGAACTCGAGAGAACTATCGTAGAGCTTGAGAGGCGTGGGTGTGTGTTACGAGAGAGTGCTCTCACCTGCAGTTTTGGTGCGCATCAGCGGCGAGAGCTGATTGATTCCCAGTGGCTGGCTGAGCGAGCGCCTCAAATTTGTCCGAGAACTCCTCCCTTTTGCGTTACTGGGGCGCACAGGAAAAGAGAAAGACCGAACGTTAATTCGACCAACAATTCGCTCCCGTAGGCGCGTCGACGTGCGGCATCGAGCGGAGGATCAACAGAAGCGTGTACTTGAGGTATTAAGCGTCGGTACAACATTCAGCAACGAATTACAATAGGTAGTGGGTGTATAATATGTATATAGAGATATATGTATATATGTATATATGTATATATGTATATATATATATATATATATATGTATATAGTAGTACAACACGACACAAGATATACGTATATGTTACGTATGCTTGGCACAGATCAACTTTTTACTTTAGGAAAGATTAAGAGAAGGTGGTTTGTTATAATACCCGTCTACCTACCACTATTCTCCCTCGATTTACTGGAAAGGTTCGAGAACAAAGTATTTAAGTTTTTTTCCCAGCCTGTCACTTTTCGTTCGGGGTAATGTGTCGGTTCGATACGTGTGCGGATCGATAAGTAAGTGTCGCGTTTCCTCGGGAGGAAGTCAAATTCTTACTGATTCGAGAAATAAAAAAGCGGAGCGAGCGCGTCTGGCTACAGAGACAGAAGGTTCGGCCGTGCGGCTAAAAGAGAGCGGTTAACAAGCGGTTCGATATGTCTCTCTAGCGTTTTCTTTTATCGCCTCCTCATCATTGCGACACTGCTAGCTTGTCACTCACTCACTCACGGTGAGAAAGCCTTTATAGCTCGTCTCTCGACTATGGAAACTCAAGCAAGCGCTGCGCGCGTCCCAGTCGTTTAACGTTTCTCAATATTTTCAAATATTTCTCCCCTCGAGAGAAGAAGAGAGAGAGAGAGAGAGAGAGAGAGAGGGAGAGAGAGAGAGAGAGAGAGAGAGAGAGAGAGGGAGAGAGGGAAAGAGGGAGAACTATACGATATGCTCGGACAATTGCAGACAGTTGCAATAAAGTACACACGGTAAACCGTACGAGGAAAGATCTCCCTCGTTTGTAATTCCGACCGAGAGGTCGTGTAATCCTTTTATTTAAAGCGCGCTACAAGGGAGACAGCTTTGAGAATAGACGGAGAATATATCGGAGTCGCTAAAAAATGCAATCTCCCCGTCTCAGCCCCGCGGAACTTGCTCTGCTTTACTTCTCGGTACACTTTATCACTCGGAATTCTTTCCATGTATCAATGTTGCGTTCTACTTGCCGGAGGTTTTCAAGAGGAGAAACAGTGGGAGGGAGAGACGGGGGAGAGCGCGTTACCAACCCGACGACTACTCGCACGCGTAACGATTGCTTGAGTTCCCCGCAGCCTTCGTGGCAGGCCGCGCGGTGTTCTCGCAGATGGCGACGGGTTAATGAGGCGTACGCGACAAGGGTTGCTCGGCGCTAAGCACATTTGCGGTGATTAAACGCACCTTCTGAGCGTAACGATATCATGGGAGGAATGCCTCGGGCTGAGTCTGGGCGGCCGCGTCTTGATCGGCGACGGAGTCGACAGCATCCTGCGATAATTGTGAACGTATCCTGACCTGGTGTCCCATTGGAGCAGCCTCTGGCCGCCTAGGTCGCTGTTGGTGCGACGCACATGATTGTGCCGCGACGCGCGGCTCTGAAGATCCGCCTGGAAACAGTCGCGGTAATACGTGAGATAGCGTCGCGATTAATCGGGGGAGGTAGGACGGGGCGGGGGAAGACGGTCACGAATTCGCCGATTAATTTGCCGTAGCGACGGCGGAACGTGCCGGGCTATAAGCGATTTCTCTCTCTCTCTCTCTCTCTCTCTCTCTCTCTCTCTCTCTCTCTCTCTCTCTCTCTCTCTCTCTCTCGGTCGTGCTCGCGCGACGCTCGGCGAACCCGATATCTCGTGACTGTCTCGGTGGCCAAGTGAGAGACAACGGAGACCGTTTCGAGAAGGTTTCGCTACGTGTCGCCTGGGTGTAGATGCGCCAGCGGGGTGCAGCAGATGCGCGGGACGTATTTTGATTTATCCAGGGGGTGGGGGGGGGGGCGACGTCGAGGCAGGCTCCGTGGCGGACTCCTCCGACGAAATTGCTTTCTGAATCCGTTTCCCCGACTCGGCGGGATTTCGAGCGACTTTCGCGCGGCTGCGCGACAACGGATATGTACGCGCGGCTGGCTACGAAGAGAGGCTCTTCTCTCTCAGGATTGAGAGGACGTCGGTGGCAAATGGTCGCGGAGCAACTGCGATAGCTCACCGTTCGTTCTTCGTCGACGACGTCCGACATCGCTCGTGCTCGCGGCCAACAGAGTAACCGAATTAGCGGGCAATTAGCGATCTCATCGCGAGCGAAAACGGCACGATCTGACGCAACCGGCGGGTCGCTAAACGGGTAGCTCGTTCGTTAAATCGCGGGCGATCGCGCCAACTGCTGCATATCGACTAACGAGGCGCCCGCTTCCTCCGCTGGTATCCTGGCGCTCGTGATATAAAAACGGCTATCGCCGAGCGGAACGGCGAATCTCCGCGCGAACATGGTCGAATCGTACACAAAGGTGACTAATGCCGGCTATCGTGTCGGAGGAAGCAGTTACAACCACGTCCGATAGCCGCAATTATCTCGCTACTATTAATGACTAATGTAAGTCATCGTCTGCGCCGGGAGGAAGCTGCTCGCGAAAATAATACGCACGCTCGCCTGCGCGGGATCGATTAAGGACAGAATCGCTCTCTCGCGCCTTTGCGCGAACGTCTCTCTTGGCCGTTCTGCTTCCGATCTCGGAAGGATGCGGGATAGGATACGGACGTGAGTTTCGCTGTGTTAGAGCTGCGAATATCGCAATGAAGCGACAGCAACAGCTCATCAGTCACGTGTCAGAAAGAAGAGAAACGTTTTGTTTTCGAAAGATCGTTGACTCGCGAAGGAAAAGGGAACTTCGAAAGTAAATTTTTGGTATCTGCGATGTATAAGCCGGTGTAACTCCTCCACTTATTAATAGCTGTACCTTCATCCTGTGAGAGCATTTGCGATTCTACACGAGTAAATAGAAAAATATTATATGGGGTATTCAGCATTCCCTTTGAACGAACGATGAAAGAAGAATCGGCCGCTCGAGGGACTCGGCTGGAGCTTTACCGAAGCGAACGCGATTGTCATCGGCTCATTCGCATTGATTAAGTTTTTATTAGTATCACACCGCGAAGGGGGCGTCAGTGTGTGCTGATATAGCAGTGAGCGATATTTTTAGCGAGCCATCGCGCGCGCCACGAGGAGGAAGCGTCGTATCGTCGTAGCGCTAACGAAGCGGAAGGGTCGAAGCTTACCTTGAACTTGTCAATCAGTATCTGGTTGATGAGCTCGGACTGGGGTCGCAATTTATCGGCGACTCGCCTGCGAAGAGCCGGAGGGCTGTCGGTGTCGTCGGGGATATCATCCGTATCGTGAGACTCGGAGCTGTCACCACCACCCATCACTCCTCCACCGCTGCCCCCAGTCAACGCTCCACCAGATACCATCTATTCATGGGAAACGTCGCTCGGGTGAGACGCTCGCGAAAACCTCGCTTCCTTTCGTCGCTTTCGTGTCTCGACTTTGTCTCTTGTCTCTCCTCCTCTGTCTCGCTTTTTCGCTCGGCTTTCGCCAATGGCGAGTCGAACAGCGCGAACATCACAAAGCGAGATCACCCGAGAGACGTCTAAAGAGCGTCTGAGCGGATTAAGTCGTCTCTTGGTCGCGTCTAAGACTAAGATTTCTTCGTGCCTGGAGACGAATCTCCCATTTCCTGAATAGTCTTGAGACGTCTCTCGGAAGTCTCTCGCGAGAACCTTCGTGTCCCACGGGAACGTATGAAATCGAGAGTTTCTCCTCACCTCGATCTGTATGCCGCTGTCACCGCTGTTGCATTTTGCATTTCGGGCAGCTTTGTTACCCTTTTTCCTCTCCTTGCTGCTCCTCCAGACGAGTGGGCCGAACCTGAACGATCAAGCAGTCGCGCGATCAAGCTTCGCCGAGGGGAAAATCTTGTTAGACGAGCGGTATGGCTTCTTCGTACGCACGCGGCTTGTGCTCAAACGCCTAACTTAATTCGATAATTTATGCTTATACAATCGGATCGGGTCAAGTAGAATCGATTTACTCCCGGACTCGCCGCTGGGAAGAAGAACTTTCTCCCCGCGGTGCGAAGCACGACTTTATGAAGAATGGGACTGTCGATATCTCGATCCGTCATTTGGTACATCGGTAAAATTCAAATGAGTCTGAAAGAATCTGAAACCGCTCTACGAAACTACGACTACGACTTTCTCTAGAGACTAGTTAAAAGCGACGAAAAATTACTCTCCAAGTTCGACCTTTCGAACCTGAGAAACTTCAGCTACAAAAAAAGCGACTAAAAGTTACTCGAGCGTCGACTGCTTTGTAGCAGACATCGCAAACAAGTTTAACGTTCATAAACAGAGCTTGCTCTCATCACAGAGATAATACAGCCGCGACTCCGTAATTTCCTGGCGATAATGACGGAGAGTGTATCAAAAGAGACGTGCGCTCGCGAACACGCGAAGAAAAAGGCCTCTCGCGACGCGTTGGGAACGATCTGGGGCATTAATACGCGCGCATCATCGGCATCGGTGAATGAAAAATCGCATCCGGTCAAAGAGGGCAAGGGACGCGATACGAACCGGAATTTCTGGTCATTGCTAGGATCGTCCTTGTGGTGGTTGCTTTGCTCGGAGGTTACAGGGGGCGTTTCCCTCTCTTCCTCCTCGTCCAAGAGTCCGGAGCCGTCGTTATCCTCGGCAGGACACTCCTCGTTGCTCTCTTTGCTGCCCTTTTTGTGGAACCTCAGCGAGAAGCTCTTACGGAATTTCTGCAACACGCTCTCCTGCTGGCTGTGCGCGGCCGCGCGATGCGCGTTCTGGCTTCCGCCAGTGGATACATTGGCGACATTCAGGACGGACGGCGGCTCCTGCAGTCTGGAGTGACTGACCAGAGGAATCGTTGCCTCGGCCAAGGGATGCTCGGTGGTCACGTGACCGGTCGTTCCTTCGTCCTCCTCATCGCCGGACCAGTGTCGGCTGCAAACCAAATTCGTGTATTTCACCTCTTATTCATCCTGCGACAGCGAAGAATCGACAGAATGGGTCGGTATGGGATAGGTATCTTGGTATCGTTGCAAGCTGAACGTTCCGAGTCGATTATAAGAGCCGAGTCTTCGATATCGAGGATTAGCCTCGGAATTATTCGATATCGCCCGATCGCTCCGGTCCCTATTCCTCGTCGAATTGACGTTAATCCCCTCGAGAGAGAAACATTGGGAATTAAAAAAGAACGAGTCCCTTACCGGGGAGGATTAAGATACGAGTTCGAGCGGATCTAAAATGGGCTTTACAAATTATGGGCTTGATCCGCTCCACCCGAGGAATTTGTACAAAGTTGAGAAGTGAATTTTCTCTCTATTTGACGTCCGGTGCATGCAGCTACTACGTACGAAGAGAAGCGTAGAGAGAGAGAGAGAGAGAGAGAGAGAGAGAGGGGGGGGAGAAGGCGATAAAAGGACTCATTAATCTCCAAATCGACACCCGGTCTCGAGGATTAAATGTTTCATCTCACACGAACGAGAAACTCCTGAAATTCATCCGTTCCGCTGCTAGTCCGCTCGTTTGTTTTACGACTAGCCGCTCGGTCGCGCCTGAATGTTCGCCGGGCAAAAATCACGAGATGGCTCCTTCGCGAGATGATCCCTCCTGTCGCGTCCCGCGATTTCCTCGTCAGCTAAATAGACCCGCATAAAAATTCGCCGTCGTTTCTCACTGTCCGGGGACTGCGCGGAGATCGATAAATCACGAACGTGCTCGGCCGAGAGTATCGCTCTCCTCTCCGAGCGGCCGTACGCCGGCTGTACACAGCTGACCAAGTGACTGTCCGAAACTGAACGGCGGAAGCGAGCAGAGGAACACTCGCGAAAGAGGAAACCCGCGGTCGCGCGGGCCGAGCGTTTCGCAAACGCTTCGCGATAGAACGAACGACTGCGTCGGCGTTTTCGCGAATCACCAGCGCGGCGATTTTTACTTAGCGCGGCGCGCGCTTGAATTATTTCGTCCTCGCGCCCGATGTATTTTAACATGCCAACACGATCGCATCCCACGGTAGCGGGCTTTCCGCGCAATTATCGCCGCGGCAGCGTGCGAGCGCATTTGTTTGCGCTACGTCGCGAGGAATATTTCATGACGCTAATCGGCCGCCACGCGCGCGCGTTTGTTAGCCGCGGGGAAAATATTTCGCTGCATCGTCTCTATCGTGATACGGGCGTTTTAATCATCGCCAGAGGCGCAATCGCGCGCTCGTTCGCCATTAACGTCGTACTAACGTACATGTGATACTGTTTTAATGAGCTGATGCGCGATGTAGGTCGTCCTGCGAGGTCTCGCTTTAAATTCGGGGCCGACATTCGGGGCAGCGAGGGCGAGGGAATCGATTCGTCAAAAATTCGCTCAGCCAATCCGTCGGAAGCAGTAAGACCGCGAAGTTTTTGAGAAACTGTGTTTACACGGATTATGTTCCCGCGGCTCCCAGCGGAGATCCTTCTGAAGCATTCTCGATCAACTCGTCTTTCGTGGGAACGTCGAGGGGAGACGTCGTTTACCGCAACTTTCAATTTTTTACTGTTACACGTTTTTGAAGCTAAATTTGACGTTGGGATTTTACTAAAGTTCACTCAGCTTAACTGAAGGATATCAATTTGTCACGTATGTATCTTCTCGCTTTTCACAGACTTTTGGTTCATCGTTTGTCCTCCGTTTTGGATTGCTAATTGTGGAAAATTCGACAACTGTTGTTGACCCCTGCCCGCTTCAATATCCTCTTTAAAAAACATTGCATTCCAGATTTGTATATCCATTTAGTGTTCGCGGTAATTCGATTGTCCTTTATTGCTCTTTATTATTATCGCAAAGTGACAACTAGAACCTTTTTTCCGTTTCTCAACTGTATATTTTTTACTTAATATCGTAGCATTTAATTTTTTGCTTTCGAATTGTATGTGCGCTCCTAAAAAATTTATTTCAAAATAATTAATAAACGCCTCATCAATCAAACAGTCGATCGGTCAGAATTGATTAAAAAGGGCACATTTGCGTCAACCCGATATCGGCGGCGGAGTCTGAGAAAATAATTTTATAATTGAAGTCCAAGTTTACACATGAGCAAGCCTCTCGACGACATCGGAATATAACATTTAAGCGAATCACTCGTGTGTCACAATAGACGGACGTCTGAGTCAGGCTAATCGGAAGAACACGTTAGGGAATCACGCACCACATCATAAGGATATTTGTCACAGACGAGTGCCTTGTCTTTCCTCTCGCGCCAATCCTCTATCCTCTGTCTTGCAATCTCCCATGCACGAGGTTGTATCACTCGTTCTCACTTTCTACATGTCACTTTTGTGCAGAAGCCTTCAATAATCAGCACACGAAGTCCGCTCTTGGCAGAAATTTCACGCAACAGTAAACTTCCCGTCACACACACACACACACACACACACACACACAGGGCGACCACGTTCTCGTTCATGAGGAAAGAAAAAACGCGAAGGATACGGAGGCGTTCGTTGACTCCGAATTAAGTTTAATCAACGCACGTCACTCGTTTTCTCGACCAGGTGTCGGCGCCAGTTGTTATCACGATGCTCGTAATAAAGGCTCCTCCGTCTTTCCGATCCTCACCGGTGCACCGTGACGTGTCAACTCCGAAGAAGAATGACGGAGAAAGAGGGAGCACAGAAAAAAAAAAGGGGGGAAAATGGAGCATCCGGCGAGCGCGACGGATACCGAAACAGGAAATGCAACGGCCGACGTGCCATCGACGACTGAGCTCGCAGGAGAGCGCACGAGAGAGCCCACGGTTGTGTGTGCCTGCGGATGTGTGTGCACGTGAACTCTCCTAGGAACAGATTTCGTGGGTCACGTCGGGTCTCATCAGGTCAGATGTGTGGCGAGGGATGCGCGGCCTTCTCGCACCTCGTCGCTCTCCTCTCGCGTCTCCCCCGGACATCTCTCTTTTTCTCCGGTTCAGGCGGCGTCCCAGGCCAAAGGTAGCGGCGACCGCGACAAAAGGCATCATTTATCGGGCCAGTGACAGGGGGGATACTCATTGTGTGTTCTATTCTTAATCAGCGGGGGACCAGGCTGCATTCGAGGAAACACGCGCGGCGTGTGGCGGCCGGTACTCTTTCGCGCCTGCAATCTGCGCGCGATCCATAAGAATCTCCGCGAGGTTGATCGACAATAAGGATCCCGACGCTCGAGGTCCTTTGACTTTGACGTTGACCGAGCTAACACCGCGGGAGTGCCGGGCGTTATATTTCGTATTAACGGGCTTCGCCCGTTAGTCGGATTTCGCGGAAAATGACTCAATAGCACTTTCAAGCTCCGCTCGTTATCGCGGAATTTTCCCGAGTTTTCAGCTGCCGCAGTTGTTTGTTGCGCGAGGAAATCGGATATACGATGATAAAAAATAAATGTGTAACACACAAGGTACATGAATATATGACGGATAAGACTCGTGCAGGTAACAACGAGATACAAGAGTCTCAGGGGAAACAATGTAATAATAAATCAACTTATAATAATAAATCAAATAGTAAATAATAAATCAACACTAATATATTAACAGGCTGAATCTCTCTCTCTCTCTCTCTCTCTCTCTCTCTAACCGCAGGTCGGCCTTATAATCCTCTCCCCCGTCTCTCCTTGATCCATCCTGAAGTGTCTTCCTCGGTATCGCTCTCGCATGGACGAGCCAGCGTTTAGCACGAAAATCGCAGGGATCAACCGAAGGCAATCCGGTTGCGGTCTTCGCGCTCCTCCTGCAGCAGGTGAGTGCGCGTTGCAACGTCGGGGGAGTAACACAGAGTTCATCAACGACGGCGAAAGATTACGTAAGGCGAGAGGGAGCATCTTTCAGGTCTGCGCTTGACTTATCAAAGCGGCCGGTCTCCTTAGCGGCCGAGTGGAAGCGGCAACTTCTCTTTGGGGGATGGCGGAAGTAGCAGGATAAAAAGCGACGAGAGACGTTTTCTATGGAGCTCGTAATTAGAACATCCGATGGTCTCGCGCACGTGCGCGCGTATGTGTCTGTGCGTGTCTTGACGGATTCCGAAGTCAATGCACCCTAGGTAGGTCATCCGAAATAACGTTCTTATTCGCGCCTCAATAGACGTAGCTTCCTGCGACACACACACACACACATACACATACGTGCACGCTGGAGCACACGGCCGCACACGACGACCGTCGAGAGATCGCCGGTAGGTCGCGGTAAAAGCTCGCAAAGCGCGGGATCACAGACGATCTTTGAAGCCGCGCGCGGCCGACCTTTGTCGCCTATCAGCGGGACATTTTTGATCACTCTTCGTTCTTTGCGATCTGTTCTTCGGAGTGGGTCTCGCAGGAGCTCTCGTCTCCGTTTCCGCGGGGGGGGGGGGGGTCGCGATAGGGACGGGATCGCACGGACAACCGTCGGGGATGAAACTTCGAAGGACCTTGTATACGTTTCCAATTTACTTTACTAGAGACGTCGTCCTCCGTTGCTCCATCGTAATAATCGTCTCGCTTTGTCATCTTATAACTCCTCCGCGCGCGCACGTTGTACGTCCGCCCAACGGCTCGATACATTTTTCGGCTTCGTCAGGTTCTTTCGCTCTTCGCTCTTTCGCCCTCTTCTTCCTTCTTCGGCGAGCCGTATTAACCCGGCCGATGCAGTTTCGGCGTTTTTGTCGCACACCCGCACAGATATCCAATAAAGCGGCGCACCGTTTTATCGACAAGCGTGTAACAAAAAGAAAAAAAGAAACGGTGTCATCGATTTTTCGACACACGCCCGTCGTCTTTGGTAGAAATACTTTCATTATTTCTGCTTGTCAAATCACTCGGCTACGAGTTCCCCGAGTGTCTCGCGCAGACTTTTGTACTTCAAAGTTTACGCGACGCTCACGACGCGAAGGTCAGCGCGTAAGTCAGCATCGCAGCTGAGGCTATCCCGAGCCCGAATGATAAATGTTTGCGCGAGCTTGCGCACTAATACTCGAAGATAATTAATCTCGATAGAGTGAATTAATCAGGTAAGGCTTCTGCGTAAACTCTTCAGCCAGTTTGCCGATTAAATCGCGCGTTACACCAATCTCTGTCTCGAACGAGTACAAACGAGCAACGCACCTCGCCCTCGTAATGAGAAAAATCGGATCGAGCAAATCGGCCGCGAGATTCACGAGAGGAGGGAGAATCGTCGAGTTTTCCGTAAGGAACCGTCGAGAGTGTTTGGGCGTATCGAGCGCGCATCAGAAATTCTTAACGAGCGTAGTTGTCAAGCGCCCCGGCGTTTCGGCCCTGAAGGGCTCCCCGGTATGTCAAGTACGCCCTTCTTATTATTTCATTCCCGTCACGAAGTTGCTCGGGTTCCTACCTTATACGAGATCTGATTCGATCCGCATACCTCTCTCATAGGGGCGTTCGCACGAATAAATTCGCGGCTTAGGCGGGATTTGATTGTCGCCGCTACCGTTATCCGTGCCGAAATACATCGGCGCGCGCGCGAAAGACGGTCGATTGGTCCGCAATTTCGCAGTTACAGTTGCAGTTGCAATTGCGTACGACGCGACGGCGGGCGAGTTTCATAAGTTAACCGCGGTGGAGGCACACGTCGGGACGTTTATAGACGAGACACGAAGGTCGGGGACACGAAGAGGAGACACGTATTCGGGAGTATAGTTGCGACGTGACAGGTAGAGGCGGCACAGAGGGAACACAGAGGATACATAGCCATTTTTACCGCCACCTTCGTGACCACCCTTCGCGCTGCCCTTTTCGTGGAGAATCCCGCTCCCTCCGGGAGAGAAGCAAGCGGTGGCATGGACGCCACCCACGCGGAAACTATGCCTCCCGTCCCGTGAATAATACAGACTACGACGGCGCGCTTTTGATGTTGGCCATCCTCGATCGCGTTTCCAAGTGAGCTGCAATTTTCTAGCCGTGAGAGCAAAAATAAAGAGAGAGAGAGAGAGAGAGGCTCTTGAGATTATTATTATACAATGAGGACCGAAAAGTGCGCTGAAAGATCTTCATTAGCGTTCGGTAAAAGTAGCCCGAAGCTTGGCTATCTTGGAAAGTGCATCTCACGTTTTTTATTTTTCTATTTTCTTTTCTTATTTTTTTGCGGATGATTAAGTGCATTTTATCTCTAACATCTTTCTTGACATCGACATATTTATTTGCAATTGAAAAATACCGACAAATGTGGATTATGCGATCAGCGCATGACGAAGCGGATGACACGCAGCTTCCTTCGAGGCGCGAACCGCGAGGTCCTAAAATTTTACTCACAATTTTGCGGGATAATAATGATTAATGGTTAATTAATATGCACAGAGAAGAAAGAATCGATCGAGTTAACGCGGCGATGGGCGGAATTTCTGCTTCATAAGGGTCGAATTTGGTTCTCGGTCAGAAGCAGAAGAAATTCTGTCCCTCCTCCGAGCAAAACGCGTTCGATTCGTACACGTCAATTAATTCAAGCGATCTTTGTTCTGCGTGCATGAAGAGCGTCAACATTGACAAGGCTAACACGCACCTGTCGTGATCCCTATCCAAAAGAGCCGGAGTGCTCGACGCTTTGATTCGCCGTTGAGCCTTGCTGAGGCCGAGGATTCGCCTTCTCTCCCTTCCGGCGTGGCCACTCGTCCTATGATCGTGCAAAGGCTGGAACAGATCGTGAACGATAGCGGTAACCGGCGAAATGATAACTGACGGATTAGGTAACGCCGTGAGATCGTTATTTATTAATTAATTGGAGACCCAATTCCCCCCGAATAACGCTTCTTAATAAGTGCCCGCGCCGAATTCGAAGAAGGTCACGTTTATTCGCAGACACGGCGCGTGATGCATACGCGAGCGTGCTCGGAAGTGAATTATTGATGACAATCGATAACCCTCTCGCGCGCGCGCGCGCGAGAAAGTCCCGTCGCGCGTATCTTTCCCACGATTCGACTAGGCACGCACGAACACGCTTGATCATTCGTATCTTCGTGTCGGTATCGATATCGGGTGCGCTCCGCGGCCGGGTTACCCGATACAACGTTACATCGCGGCGCTTTGTGGGTCGCGGGGCAACCGGTTTTATTTAAAGTCGACGATTCGTCATATACCTCGCGCGCGCACGCGGCGGCCGCTTCCTTCGGTCCTGGGAATATAGCGGCGGCGGGATCGAGGAGAATCTCGCCGGTAACTTCTCCGCGCGCGCGCGCGAGCGGCCGCGAATGTTAATAACGAGCACTCGACGCGGACTCGGAGGACTCGCGAGCGGAACGGCGATTTCCGTCGGGAGTCGCGGACGAAGTGGGGTTTCCAGCCGAGTCGGGGCTGAGAGCTCTTCTTCCGCGTTTCTTCCGCGTCCACCCACACGTCGACGCTGCGAACACGCACGCACGCACGCACGCACGCACGCACGCGCGCGCGGCGATTAATCATCGCCATCGAAGCGGCCGGCTTCTCGGCCGCAAGCCTATCGATCTGTTCGCGCAATCGGCAGCGGCCGCAGGCGCGTCTTCTTATCGGCGCTGATCGACGAAAGCGTTGATCTCGCGTTGAGCGCGCGGTTTCTGTTCGTCCTTTCGCGCGCACACTTTGCGGGAAATGAAAGGGGTGCAGACGCAATACCGAGCCACAAAGGTCGATTGTATCAGCAGCTGTCTCGCCACCGTGCGCGCGACGTTCTACTAATTAAGATTCCCACGCGGTGAAAGCGACGCACGCTGCGTACAAGAGGCCGCGCCGCCGCGCGCCGTCGAGCCGCGAGCCCTCAAATTTTAATCACCGACATCCGACATCAGACATGGCGCCGCCATGCACATTAGCGCGCTCATTTAAACCGCGTTATGGAAACCCGGATCGAGAGCAGATCCTCTTACTTAGACTCTGTCTTTCACTTGGACGGCAATCTATCAGTTTAACACACATACACGCTCGCGCGCGGCGGGGAATTCGCGAGACTTATTGTAATTTATGAGCCCCGACATTTTCGCCAACAAGGGATAATTTCCCTCGGATTTGTCGAAATCTTCTCTGCAGAGATTACTCAGGAGGGGCTTGCCGGGACTCGGAGGTTACATCGTTCCGCGCGTTCCGCGCGAGAGCAATCTTGATTTTAGCTAAGCTCCGCTCTATTTGACGGATAACGCACACCCTTGAAGTCCCGAAAACTCTCTGCCACGACGCAGCCCACAGTTTCCCCGAGACGCGCTCTCCGTGCTGAATGTCTCCAGGACGCGACGAAGTCGAGGACCTCGCACCGAGGCCGAGGGCCGTTCGCACACCAAGTTGCCAGCGACCTTTCTCCGTATTATCGTTATTAAAGTCGTAAATTGCGGAGCCCCGCTATGCGTGCCGTGCTTCCTCGCTTCGAAATGTCCGCTTCCGGCGCACGCGCAGACAAGCGCGCGCGGATCTGCAGATAGCGTCACAGTTCGACACGACACGACACGACACACCGCGCGACGTTAACGAACCGACACGCACTATCGTCACTGCGGATGATGCATGTAGGTCGTTGCCAGCCGGCGACGTGATGCACCACGTAACGCGGTGCACCGCAGTCGCGTGCAAGCGCCGCACCGCGCCGCGCCGCGCCGCGCCGCGCGGCGCGGCGCGATGCATCTCCACGTGCATCCGCGTGCACGGCCGTGGCTGAGACGTCATCGGCATCATCGGCCATTACTCACGCGTCGCCGATCGATGATCGCGCTTCCGCGTCGCCGGCAATTACGGATCGGCCCATCCCCGCGCTCCTTGCAGCGAGAGGGATGAAATACGCGCACGTGTCGCCTGTACATGTGCGGCGTACACGCGCTATGAGCTGAGCATGAGCCGGTCGCTAATGTGTAGATTGGGTGAAATTGAAGAAAAAGCTCTGCGCTTCGCGAACAGTCAGGTGAAAGTGCGAGTTGAGTTCTACTCATCAAGAGGCATTTGGAGATGATCCGCGCACGAGTGTCGATTTTTTAAATTAATAAGTTTTGTGAACCAACGAATTAACTTTTCAAATTAATTTCAAATCCTTTCAAATTAATCAATTGAGTTAATTCGAAATTTTACATGTATATTTATTTATTTATGTAGAGATTGCTTCGCGCGGGTAAAATATTACAGCTGGACACGGAAACGTCGGAAACAGCGGATTCTACCGAGAAATAGCCGGCATCGTTTTCCCCCGGGGGGAAAGGTAGCCGACGGGGTGATGAATGAGCCGTGCGAATCGCATTAGCGTAATGTATATTAAACCTTCACCGGGAAATGTCGAGATGATATGCTGCAACTCGCGTAATCGGACGTCAAACGCGCCCGGGCGCGTTTTCTTACCGACGAGTTTCTCGACGGATCTTCTCGCGAGGCTGCGAACAGCCAAAAATTATGCAAGCGGCCGACGAGGAGCGCGAGGATGCGTGAAAAGATTAAACTGTAAGATATGGTTCTCATGATCTCGAGCCCTTCTCCTTCTTGATCGTCAAATGCGCGGAACATGTTTAGGATCAGGACAAAGTGCTGTCGAAATCGAGCCTCGCCGACGCGACCAAGAATTTTTCAGCGCGCGCGCGGAAGTCGACGAAATTAAACGGACGATCGCGTTGCAACGGCTTACGTACGTACGCCAAGCGTGATACCGGAGGTCGCGACAGATTAGTCCAACGCGTCGTTTGAGGTCGGCCTAATTAAACTCGGGGAATGTCTCGTGCGAGCTAACTCCAACCCGTCGCAGTAAGTTCTGCGGCTTTACGCCGCTGCGGGCTCAAACCGAACGGCGCGCGAATGTCGCGGACAGAGTCGTCCTGCGACGCGATTTAGCACGGTCACTAATTACACCTCACATTCGGAGCAAAAGGTGCGTCGATCCCTCCGGGGAATTAATCGCGCGCTTTCTCTGCCTGCCGCATTTTTGCGAGAGAGACTGGGGAGAATGGGGAAAATCTCGCCGATTATCGAGCGCCGATTCGAGCGCCAGATTGTCGTCCCGCCGGACTTTTCGCAAACTGATCAACTTTAATTTCAACTCGGGACGAGCTTCTTTTCATCATTTCGCCTCGACTGACTCGACTCAGGTGGCACCTGAAGGTGCCGTTGCGCGGAAGTAATATGCTCCTCGCGCGTGAAATTGATATTAAATTATTAGTAATTGAAGCTTCGAGCGTGTAATTTCAATTTTCTCGACAGAGACAAGTACGCGCGACACGTGATATTCTCGTTTAGCGAACGAGTGTGAGATTATACCTAATAACGCCCGTCATATTCACCGCATGCGGCGCGTCCTGCGCGTCCACCGACGACATTATCGCGGTCGATCCGACGCAGATAGGGCCATTGTTAGCCGACGACGAAAAAAAAGGTACTCCTCTTCCGGACGGAGGTGGGGGATTAAAGTACTTACGGAAACGGGAGCTGTGTGAGGTGTGGCCGCATCCTGCGCGCGATGAGGCCTGCTGGGACTAGGGCTGGTTCGCTGGGAGTCCTGCCCACGCTGCCAGGATCCTGACTTACTGCTGCTGCAACAGCCAAGCCGGAGAACACACTTATTTTCGAAACGAGCGTGAGCGACGCCTCGTTGATAAAGAAAAAAAAGAAGAAGAAGAAAAAGGCAGGAAGGGAAAAATACACGCATCTCTCTCCCTGCTTTCTCGAGGATACATCCATGCATCAAAAGTTCTGACGAGATCCCCAGAGGAACGATATTTTCGAGAGAGATGCCTTGCCGGCTGTCGCGCGACATCTTTCGCCTCTGCAGCAATCCCGGCATCCGAGGCTCGCAAGAAAGATTGCGGCTGAGAAAGTCTTGCGAACTCGCCGCGTGCGCGCTCTGCGCGAGACAGCGAATCTCATTCAAAGACTTATTCATTACGCGCGCTGTTTACGTTCGTGAGTTCGCGCGAGTCTCGTTATCGCGATCAACCGAAACGCAGATCTACCTATCCGCCTATCGGTATCGAGTTGCAGCACGTCGGGCAGGCGCGATGCGCCATGCGGGTGATTAATCAATAATCGTGACGCTGCGCGTCGCACGGATCTTAATTAATGAGAGCCCGGGAGCGCGGCGGGCAGAGAGGGACGTGCGCGAAACGTACGTCTGGGGCTTGCGCTTCGTTATCCGAGCGGCTGGCACTCGCTCGGACTCGGGTCTAAATGCGATAAAATTGCGCCGAATTCATTCGTCGGGCGGGTTAATAGCGCGGAAAAACGCTCTTCCGCGTCGCCGGAGCCGTGTACGCGCCTCGCGCGACTGCGCGAATGCATATGCATTTTTGCGCCCGCGCACTCGCCGGATTCTCTGATGTCTCTTTCTTCTCTGTTTTTTTTCCTTTTTTTTTTTTTTTTTTTTACCAAAGTCATATAACGGAGCCTGGAACGTTGTTGGAGCCCTGGTCTTATCGGGGCCGTGATATACGCGGTGTCCCGCGGTGGACCGCCGATTGTCCCCTTGATTACGCCAGGACGACGGGCGCCGCGATTTTGCATCCGCGTGATATTTTTTCAAACACGCGCGCACGCGCGCGCGCGCGCGCGAAACTCATCTCTCCGTTATCCTGCGAGACTGCGAGTTCTCGACTGCCGGTGAGAATCCCGTTCTCTCTGCACGTTCTCGCTGCCACGAAACCGCCTTGCGGTTCGCCGATGACACTCGTATAATCGCATCTCGCGTGGCAGGTGTATTGTCGCGCGACGTCACAACGGCACATACGGTATAAAACGGAAATAGAATAAATCGAGCCGAGATTCTCGTCGGCGGAGATTAGTCCGAGTCGGGCGGCTTCGCTGGTGGCTGCCGCGACAGCTCCACGGGAAAGACACTCACGTGGGCGATGATTATTTTCGTAATAAATTACAGCGGGGCACGCGGCCTATCGTCTTGACGTGATAATGGGCGCGATGCTGTAAGTTATGGTGCCAAGGGTCGCCGGGCAAGATTTGTACGTTCGTCTCGTCGATAAACCCCTCGCGAAGACGGCGATTAATTGTGCCGATTGTCGAGCTGTGAGACAATATATATATATATATATATATATATATATAAAATCTAGAGTTATGTATATCTCGCACAGTCTATTAACTCGTGTGAGGTCCGGCTTTCTAATCGAACGCGGCGGCGCATTGTGTGAAGTGCGCGCAGGTACGCGGTCTCTGATGTCTCCCGACGATATTTATTCGCATATGCAAACGTCACCATTTCTCCTCCATTTGGAACTGGCGGATAAATCCGCGGACTTTTGCGTTTGGGACTGCAAAACGGCGTCGCGCGAATGATAGCTTTGCGCTTAACCGTTTGAGTCCCAGGGGGTATTGAAAAAACACTGTCGAAGAATCCCAAACAGCGCAACCGCGCTTTCTATAAATGAGTATGAAAAGACCCAAGCAGCGCGATAGCGCTTGTTTTATTTTAGGTCGAGAAATACCAAGCAGCGCGATAGCGCTTTTTATTTTACTTTATTTTATTTTATTTTAGCGTTTATTTTACATCGATGAATCCCAATCGGACCAATACCGCTTCTTGTATTTGTTAGGTAACGCGATTCTCGTCTTTTTCTCATCGCTCTGTCACATTTATTGTAGTTTGCAAAGCGATCGGACGTATTCTTGCGTAAGTGTTTCTCATTGTTAATAATTGTGTGTTTCAAAATGATTAGACGAAGCAACGGAGCAACGAAGCAAAAGGAATCCATCCAACATGTTTTGATAAACACCGATGTTACAAATTATAATTGTTACTCTCCATTTAAATTATTTGTTCATAACACAAAAATATTGTTAATTTGTAATTCGTTATTTTATAAAATACATCTGTATTATTACATATGCGTACTGTAAATTTATAAATATTTCAAGTTTTGTTCGATAAAAATTATTGAGAAGATAACAATGAAATAAAAATTTTTATTTTATAATGTATTATTGCATTATTATAGTATTATTCTACCTATTATAAAATGTACTATTTACATTAAAAGGATCGGTGTGATATACTTGCTTCAGTAAATCTGAGCGCGCGACTTCGACAATCGGTAACGCACCGTCAGTTGTCCACAATGATCGAAATGTACTGGGTTTTCTCGACATAAAATCTGAACAGCGCGATCTCGCTGCTTGGGACTCAAACGGTTAATTGAGAAAGTCACTTCTTAGCGAGTCGAGCAATGTTAATTTCCAAGGAGCGCAGCGAGTGTGCCAAACATTTGTTGGTTCTCTTTCATATTTCCCGACACTGAGGCGTCGAGGAAAAGAAACCGGCCCACCGCCGGGGAGACTCGCCGATCGCGCAGATCGAAGAGACGCGAGAGCGCTCAGGCGAAGGCGTGCTCGCCTGCTCGCGTCTGTCGCTGAGAAGACGGAATTCGAAATCGGCCGATCTCGCATTCTCACGCCGGCGCTTCATTATTCGCGCATAAATATACCCCGCATGAAGTCGCATTAGAAATCGGCGACAGGAATGACGTGCCGATCGTCAAACGGTGAAAGGCGATAATAAACGTTGCCGCGCGCGCGCGCGCGCGCTGTTCCTGGTCGAAGGGAAGCTGAGAAGAAGTGCGCCGGTAGAAAGGAAGTTCCGCGCTTCTCCTCTCATGCCCGTCCGACGGCGAAGACAACGACGACGAGATGGCCGGAGCTGACATAGCTGCCATGAGGCGACTCTGTACCGATTAAAGACAGGTCACGCGCCGGTACCTAAGTTCATCGATTCATTCTACTTTCTACGTGTCGGCCAAACACGAGACTAGCGCGGAGTCGGCTCTCTCTTTCCCTCCCTCTCTCTCTCTCTCTCTCTCTCTCTCTCTCTCTCTCTCTCTCTCTCTCCTGCCGACGGGAAGGGAGCGGCCGCGACTGTCCGAGGAACGAGCGAGATTTACTTAACCCCATCGCAAGAAAGAGGATGAGCGACGTGCGGCTGTCGTGCATTTACGGAAGATCGGTTCCCGATGTTGACTCGCTTCGCCTCCGCTTTAACCTTCGAAGATTCTCCATTCTTGGCTGGCTGTGCCGGCAAGACGGCGAAGCACGAGCGCGACCCGGGAGCTTTCTTCAAGCTTCGGTCAAGAGCCCGCGTCTCTGTGTGCAACGTAAACCCAACTAACGTTAAATCGATCCCCGGCACGGCAGCTAGGATCTTATTCGGCCGGCTCGCCCTTGTTCGCTGGATATTAATAGATCTCCGCTTCCGAGCGCGCGGAAACTGCGGAATTTCATCGATCCGCGGACGCGGACGCGGTCGGTATTTCCGAGCGTGGCGGCCGCGCTTCTCTTCTCTTTCAGAACGCGAGTTCGTGTTCGCGCAACGCACGGCTCCACCACCACGCATAGCGCGTCTGCCCGCGAGGTGGATGTCCACGTTTGTGTCGGATGGTTCCGACGTAACGCGCGCGACGGCTGGCTATTATGAAATACGCCGCGTTAAAGTTTGACGGATGATTGCAAAAACTGCCTCGCGCGTCGTGAGGCAGTTTTTGCAATCTAATATTCTTGGAATCTAATATTTACCGTCCGTCCCGTGGAAACCACGTCACCTGCCGCACGATCGACGGATATTGGCACATCGTGCCTCGTATACATAAGCGAATACCTGCCGCAGCGTGGTACGTGCTCGCGACCAGGTGCACCGGATTCTCCCCCCCCCCCTCTACGGAAACGCGTCATTTTCGCGGGGAAAAGCGCAAACAGCGCGGCCGATATCTCCAAGGCTGCGGATATTTACGATGTCTGAGCCGAGACTGAGGTGGGTGCCTCCTCGAGAGTCGCCGAGCTGGAAGGATCTCCGCAGAAGGTGAGACAGAGAGTATGCGTGTGTGTGTGTGTGTGAGAGAGAGAGAGAGAGAATAAGAAGAGAATACAACGTCGAGACGACTTTGAACATGGCCGGCCGCATATTTAGAGCTCTCCAAGAGTACGGCCGTGTCCGATTCCCCAGCTGAAATAACATTGTTCGTAATCTTCCATGCGAGACACACGGAGGAGCTCGGAATCGGACGGCCGTGTTTAACAACGCTATCTCTCGCCCTCGAACCGCGCGCGGCGGACCTCGATGAACCTCGATTTCCTCGCGACGTCTTCGGCGCGCTCACGTTTCCTCCTCTTTCGCGCTACGGTCCACCTCGCGCTTCAATCGCGATACCTCGCGATTGTTATCTCAAGTGTGTGATTCGATTACCCGCGGACCGCTCTTCGAATCTCGTTGTCCCGCGGGCGACGAAAATGAATTTGTCTGCCCTCCTTGGCGACGAAGACTCTTCCTCGCGAGGGCTGACAATTCCGTCTCTCGCACGCTTCTCTCCGTTTCTCCTCCTGACACAAATTCGCGCGCTCAACTCTTCCTCCGGCGCGTTACGCGATATTGAACGCGTGCCGCGTGTGTGCCGACTCCTCGCTCGTCGAGCCTCGCGCCGCGGGAAGGAGGCAGATTTAATTCCCTCGAGACGCGCTTCTATCGTACTTAATATGGAAGCGCGGACTCGCCGTTTCGCCCGGGGCGCCGAAATACCTCTCTCGGTCGGCCCGTAGTACG